TGATAGAATATGAATAGATATCTGTTCAAATCATATTGATGTAAATCATTATTCATAGAAAATGATTCCAAATAGAATTTATCAAAATGATCCATTTGAATACTTATCATTTTTACATGTTTCAATATTCAAACTTTGTTATCTCATGATGCAGCTCGTTTTTACTCCTATATATTCTACAATCATAACAAAAATCTCATACAAAATAAATGAATAACAGAAATTTTGAAGTTCTTAGTGAATGAAATGGTCGTATATGATGACTTTAGGCAGTTGGCCGCTATTGTTAATGATAAATTTCCAATTTTATTGTTAATAATTTTAAATATTTAATATGAAAAGAGAATTTGAATGCTGATAATAAGAGAATTTGACAAGCATCTTGTAGGGATTCAAATACCCCTAACTTAAATTTTATGAGTTTATTGAATTTTTAGCCTTAGTAAAACATCAACTCGATGAAGATTTTTAAAAGACAATAGGTCTTGTTTGGCCGTGCAGTGGTCCCTTAAAGATTTACCCATTTGGGTTCCATATTACTTGGTAAAGCAATGTAGAATATCGAGATATATTCAAAAAATACTAATAATTCGAATTTTGTGTAGTCAATCATATTCATTTAATTAAGGGTTTCGTTTTGCTAAAATTGTCACTTTTATAGCATATTTGTTTTTGGATGTTTTGCGAAACCAAAAAAAAAAACACTATGATATACAATGTGTGTGTAAAGAAAATACTTTATTTACTAGTTAAAAAATCATTTGGTATTGATCAAGTTATTTTTTCTGGATAAGATATTATATGGATAATTGGATAGAAAATACAATTATATAATCTTGTACCTGGTTTAATTAAGCTAATTGTCATCAGAAACTTGTAATTTTTATGGGCGTCAAAAATTTTCTCACTGGGTTTTCGTCTATCAATCCCAGCTCATTATATACGCAACCAATCAAAAATCTGATATGGGAGTCCAAGGCTAACTTTTTGTTGTCTACCTAATAAAAGAGGAAGCAGCATTAGTGAGAATAATCGCAAATATTCAATTTAAATTATCTTTTTATTCTTAATTTAAAGTGACAAAAAGAATAAAAAACCTATTCTAAGGCATGTTGTTATGTAAATGAGACTAGACATCATATTTTATGTTATGAAAAAAAAATATTTAGAATTTTAGAACAAAATAAATAGAAAAAATAGCATAACTTATGGATGTGCGTATATTAAATTTAATAAATTAAGAGAAATTATTTTTGGCGCCAAAATTATTCGTTAACTCTCAAATTTTTCTGAGTCAATAAGCCGCCAAAAAAGTGTCATTTTGTTTCGTTAGAGAAAGATGAATTGTCCATGTCATCCAATCGGGAACAAGGGGGATGGGGATTAGATGATAAAGAAGCAATTCATGCTCTCTATCTGAAGCAATCAGACTTACCAGCAACAATGTGAATCGATTTGGCTTTAAAGTTAATATAGCAGATCAGCTTGTTACTGGAGAGACTAGGCATTACGATTGATTCGCTGTAGTGCTCTACTTTAATTTAAGAGTAGTAACGGATAACTGAATTCCCAAAGTTCTTTAGGTGATCCAAAACACTGTAGCTGCTTGAACTTTGGACGAGCCTCGCACCCCAGAGAATAGAAATCCCAATCTTGCTCATGTTTAGTTGAATTAGTCTGCAGCAGTACAGCTCTGATACCACAAGATCGTGATGTATACAAAGTCACAACGCTATTTGATTCAACAACTAGCTAGTTTTGACATCAAATTGCAAAATTTGACTTCGTTATGAGCTCTTTGTAGCAAAAATACATTACACTTAAAGACTAGTTGCTAGACTGTAGTAGTTTGTTCGTATATATCTATTTTTCCCCAACGTATTGCATACTACATTTTGACAAGACTTGCAACCTTATAGTAACCTCGTTGGGAATTGTTCAAGCAAAGCGTAGGTAGTTAAGGTCGAGTAAGAGTTCTTCTTAAATCTTTCACTGAATGAGTAGGTGTTGGAAGAACTGTTCTCTAAAGCGATACAGTTGCGCTACATGTTCGTCAACTTGTCTAGAAATAAATATATCATTTGTTTTATACGTTTTTTCGTAATAAATCTATTTGTATTTGTTGTATTTGAGTATGAAGATAACAAAAACTACGGCATAAGACGCAGTACACTGGGCTTCGTTGCCATTTTATTTACCATGTTAAGAATAAACTTAACAGACATGCTTTGTTTTCGACGAAGCCATCTAAAATAACGTACATCTAAATAAAACTAAAAAACTGTAAAATTTCTTTATTTGATAGTATACTTCAAATTATGCACTATACCTTCTAGAATTCTATAACACTCTTTGCATATAATTTTTTTAAAAAAAGTTATATCTCGACAAAAATATGATTTATCAATAGAGTATGTAAAATAAAACTCATTCGCAGTATTAAAAAATCGTAAATCTTTCCAAAAAAATTTTGAATTACAAATTTTAAAACTTAAAACAACATTTTTTGAAGCGAAAAAACGAAATCTAATTTTTTTTGGAAAATTTAGAATAAATAGAGCTCTTTAACTCGTCGAATACAAATTGTTTTCAAGTTTTTTTCGACCGGAAATTGAACTTTTAGAGTTTATACAATAAGATTCACATGAAAAAATACGGGTTTAACAAAGAAATCACCAATATAAAGGTTTTTTAGTAGAACGAGATTGATAAAAACTATGGTATGATAAAAAGACGATATTTTTTTTGGCGGGATAATTGAAGAATATGAATGATTCGAATTACAGACATACTCTAGTCCGAAACTTACTATGGTTCGTGACTTATTTTTGACACAGAATAGCTGTAGACTAAGGCTTACTCTAGATCCAGACTTATTATACAATTAAATTTGCTTTTGGAATAAGACTTAATTTTAGTTACAAACTTATCTTAATATCAGACTTATATTTAGAATCAGACTTACTTTAGTCTAGAACTTACATTTAGAATCAGACTTCCATTTCAAGTCAGACTTACTTTCGTCCGAGACTTACATTTCAAGTCAGACTTACTTTCGTCCGAGACTTACATTTCAAGTCAGACTTACTTTCGTCCGAGACTTACATTTCAAGTCAGACTTACTTTCGTCCGAGACTTACATTTCAAGTCAGACTTACTTTCGTCCGAGACTTACATTTTAAGTCATACTTACATTAATATCAAACTTATATTAACCTACGACTTACTTTTATTCCCAGACATCTTGATCCACACTGACATTGAAAAACTCATACATCTAAAGCCACTCAAACATCTAGATCCACTACGACATGGAAATCCACTCAAATAATTTTTGCTCTCTAACTACATTTTTATATGATTTTACAACCTAAATTTTCTTCTTTACCTAAAGATTATTCGCAATATCTGAATATCATTAATTAATTGAGATATTCAAGTTTTGACAGCGGATTTGGAAAGCAGACTTGATGGAGATTTTAAATCTGATGTCAAATCTTGGTTTTGTGCATTATTGGAAGAGAAAAAAAGGGTGTTAATTGCAAATCTTAAATATAGGTTTTTACGAAAAATGTAATTAGGGTTAGAATCATAGAAAGATATATCTGTCAGACATTGTTATGTGTGACAGATAATATTGCATCTCATAGACACTGTTGCATCTGTCAGACACTGTTAAATTTCATAGACACTGTTGCATCTCATACACACTGTTGCATCTGTCAGACACTGTTGCATCTCATACACACTGTTGCATCTGTCAGACACTGTTGTATCTCATACACACTGTTGCATCTTTCAGACACTGTTGCATCTCATAGACACTGTTGTATCTCATAGACACTGTTGTATCTCATAGACACTGTTGCATCTCATAGACACTGTTGCATCTCATAGACACTGTTGCATCTTTCAGGCACTGTTGCATCTCATACACACTATTGCATCTGTCAGACACTGTTGCATCTCATAGACACTGTTGCATCTCATAGACACTGTTGCATCTGTCAGACACTGTTTTATCTCTCGGACACTATTACATTATCTTACTCTATTTCTAATTTTAAATATTTTTCTGTTTTTTGTTTTCATTATTAAATTTATTTTATAAAAATTATTTCTCTTACTTAAATTTTAAATTTCTTCTTAGTTTAATCCTAAAATTCGTTTACTTTTAAAATTGACATTCCGTTTAATGGCTCCTTTTGATTATGGATGTATTATTGATCTAAATAAAATCAATAGTACTATTCTTAAGATAATAAATTATTCAAAATATCTCGTTCAGAATAATATAGACCTCGATTTAGAAGATCCAGAATTTAATGATATTCAGGCTGAATGTAAGCGCATTCGTACATGTGATGCTTATAACTACATTACCCTTTTTGTAATACATAACTTAAATTTCGCACCGGCGGTCAATGAAATACTGGACAATTTAGAATTTTACCCTACACCAAATGAATACTTAACTTCAATAGCAGACGAATATAGCAAGGATATGGGTGATGAAGAAGAATATAACTATATTCATGTTTTTCCACAAACATTGAAGGATTTTCTAATTGATACTTTGTTAATGGATGATCTTGACGCTTTTTTATCCAAACTATTTGGTCGCAATATTGGAACAACCATTTTTGGTGATAGAATTAGCATATGCTTTCAATGCAAACAATATCCTTGAATATTTATGTGCAAATACTGAAAAACTATCAAACTTTGACGATAACCAAAAATTTATATATAATGTTCAATGCGGAAAAAAATATTATGTCAATATCCTCAATGTCAAAAAATCATTGATCGCTGGTTTTGAACTGAATTTACTTAAATCCAAGAAAATTCGTATAAGTTCATTCGCATTTGAATGCTATTTAAAATATCAAAATTTTGCGGAAATTATATCTTACATTAATTCATATAAACCAGATGATATTGTTCGATCGAAAGGATTCATGAAGTCTGTTGTCAGGCACGCAGCTAGATTAAAAAATATGGCTGTATTTTTTCAATATGTATCTAAAGATCTTATTGACGATGACAAAGAGCAATTTGTTTCATATATTCTTGATTCACAGGCAGATTTCATTTTCAATGTATATAATCGCATTGCAAGTGGCTATTATTTATCAAAACGCATGATTAATGAAATTCCCCGCGGATATAATGTTCTTAAAATTGCAAACATTGAAGTAATGCATAATTATGACAAAGAATCACGCCAAGTAACTTGGAATATTGGTGCCTCAGATATATGGAATTTCAGTGAGATTCATGAACTCTTTAATTATCTTCCTTTTTTCCTTAAAATAGTTCCATTTAAGGAACAAGAAAATCCTCCCAAATACACAGACTTCTATTTTAAAGACACTGATCCTAGTGATCGTTTAATTCTAGAACTTGATTTTGATCGAAAATATATTGAAGGAAATCGATATAAGGCTTTTACAATAATTATTAACAAAAAAATGAGTCAAGCTGTTATAATAAGGAATAACAAAGATATACCTTATTTAATCGAGGATGTTATTAACAGAGTTCAAATTTCAAAATGTGTAATTCCTTCAAATAAGTTAAGCAAAAAACTGACACGTTATACCAACTTCAATTCACCAATAATTAAGGATATTTATGATTTGCGCTCGTTACTTAAACAATTACCCGGCAAAGTTTATGTCCATCTTTTAGAAGATAAGCTAAAAGATCTTGCAACTTGCAATTCAAAATCAATTCAATGGTCATGCTGGATCCCAGACCTTGTACCTGATTTATTAAGGGTTGCAATTGAAAACGAATGTATCCAGACCATCGAACTGGATGCCACGTTTTCGTTTCCTCCGTATATACTTATATTACCCCAGTGTGTTATTAATAACACAGGTTATCCACTGGGATATTACTTCGGGCTGAGCGAAAACTCAAATGCTTACAGAATCTTTTATGAAAGACTAGTTTCATCTGCTACAGATGTTGATATTCAAAATGTCCCGATTTTAAGCGATTTGCACTCTTCTCTTGAAAGTTTTTGCAAAAGTAGCCATTTAATTCATTGGCTTTGCGCTTATCATTTTTTAAAAAACAATTAAAGATAGTGTAATCATGAGGGGATTGATTCGAGAAGTAATATATGCAGAAGATGAAGCAACGTATAATGTTAGATACGAAACATACTCCGAAATTGTTAATCATTTAAATAAGAATGAATTGGTTGATCCTCTTGATATGGAAAAATGGATCAATCTTGGCAAAGAGGAATTCAAATCCAAAATCGCACGATTTAAGAGAGATGTCAAAATCATGCCTAGCAATCATGCGGAAGGTAATCACGGGAGCTTGAATACCAAAATGAAGGAGATTTCAAGCACAAACAAACTTTTGAAGTTCCAAACAATGATTGAACATATAATGTCGAGATTTAATCAAATTGATGATCCAAAAAATGATAATGTAATGAAACTTTATAGAAAATTGAAAATTTCGGCAATTAAAAATAAAGTCGAACAGCATTGTAAATGCAACTGCAACATGGAAAATGTTTATAAACTATATGGTGTTCATATTCCATGTATTCATAACATCTTAGATGTAAAACCGGCCGATTTAGAAAAACCTAAAGCATTTCATATTGGAAAATTGGAATTCAATAGTTCGAAGAATATTCTAGTTTATGATGATGAAGACAATCCGATAGGAAAGGGTGATCGGAAAAATGAACAATGCAAAATTTCGGCTCGGAAAACATTTACAACCAAAGTTGAGAACGAAATTTACTTGTATGAAGAACAAGTAACTCCAGATATAGGAGTTAAAAGTCTTGTTCAACGCATTTTAAATCTTCCGTCAATTGACAAGGCAACAAGTTTCATGTTTAATCTTGGGATGAACATCGATTATGATACAATTCAGGCAATTCATTATATATCATCATTAAGAAAAACACATCCAGAAGTGATAGATTTGGCATTAAGTAATGCATATCTTCCGGAAGAATCAGATGAATATCAGCAAAACAAAGACATGATTTCAAAAATTATCGAAGAAGTTTTTGATAATAAAGACAAGGAAAGAGATCCAGATTTTGTTGTAAGAAGGAAGAGGAAAAATGGTTTGTGAAAAAAATATTTATATGAATAAAATGTGTATGATTATTGTTTATAAAAACAGTTAATAAATATGAGAAACTATTTAATTATTTGTTATATAAAGATTCGATATACAGAACAGAATGAAAAAGGATAAAAAAATTAATCAGAAAGATGTAAAAGTTTGGGAGATATAAAAAATATTATAGAGATAAAATATTTCCTGAGAGATAAAAAAGTCAATGAAAGATGCAACAGTGAGAGACTGATGCAACAGTGTTAATGAGATGGAATAGTGTCTGAGAGATGCAAGAGTGTCTGAGAGATACAATAGTATCTAACAGAAGCAAAAGTAAGTGATAGATGCAACAGTGTCTATGAGATGCAACAGTGTCTGACAGATGCAACAGTGTCTGAAAGATGCAACAGTGTCTATGAGATGCAACAGTGTCTATGAGATGCAACAGTGTCTATGAGATGCAACAGTGTCTGACAGATGCAATAGTGTGTATGAGATGCAACAGTGTCTGAAAGATGCAACAGTGTCTATGAGATGCAACAGTGTCTATGAGATGCAACAGTGTCTATGAGATACAACAGTGTCTATGAGATGCAACAGTGTCTGAAGATGCAACAGTGTATGAGATGCAACAGTGTCTGACAGATGCAACAGTGTGTATGAGATGCAACAGTGTCTGACAGATGCAACAGTGTGTATGAGATGCAACAGTGTCTATGAAATTTAACAGTGTCTGACAGATGCAACAGTGTCTATGAGATGCAATATTATCTGTCACACATAACAATGTCTGACAGATATATCTTTCTATGATTCTAACCCTAATTACATTTTTCGTAAAAACCTATATTTAAGATTTGCAATTAACACCCTTTTTTCTCTTCCAATAATGCACAAAACCAAGATTTGACATCAGATTTAAAATCTCCATCAAGTCTGCTTTCCAAATCCGCTGTCAAAACTTGAATATCTCAATTAATTAATGATATTCAGATATTGCGAATAATCTTTAGGTAAAGAAGAAAATTTAGGTTGTAAAATCATATAAAAATGTAGTTAGAGAGCAAAAATTATGTTTGAGTGGATTTCCATGTCGTAGTGGATCTAGATGTTTGAGTGGCTTTAGATGTATGAGTGGTTTTCAATGTCAGTGTGGATCAAGATGTCTGGGAATAAAAGTAAGTCGTAGGTTAATATAAGTTTGATATTAATGTAAGTATGACTTAAAATGTAAGTCTCGGACGAAAGTAAGTCTGACTTGAAATGTAAGTCTCGGACGAAAGTAAGTCTGACTTGAAATGTAAGTCTCGGACGAAAGTAAGTCTGACTTGAAATGTAAGTCTCGGACGAAAGTAAGTCTGACTTGAAATGGAAGTCTGATTCTAAATGTAAGTTCTAGACTAAAGTAAGTCTGATTCTAAATATAAGTCTGATATTAAGATAAGTTTGTAACTAAAATTAAGTCTTATTCCAAAAGCAAATTTAATTGTATAATAAGTCTGGATCTAGAGTAAGCCTTAGTCTACAGCTATTCTGTGTCAAAAATAAGTCACGAACCATAGTAAGTTTCGGACTAGAGTATGTCTGTAATTCGAATCATTCATATTCTTCAATTATCCCGCCAAAAAAAATATCGTCTTTTTATCATACCATAGTTTTTATCAATCTCGTTCTACTAAAAAACCTTTATATTGGTGATTTCTTTGTTAAACCCGTATTTTTTCATGTGAATCTTATTGTATAAACTCTAAAAGTTCAATTTCCGGTCGAAAAAAACTTGAAAACAATTTGCATTCGACGAGTTAAAGAGCTCTATTTATTCTAAATTTTCCAAAAAAATTAGATTTCGTTTTTTCGCTTCAAAAAATATTGTTTTAACTTTTAAAATTTGTAATTCAAAATTTTTTTGGAAAGATTTACGATTTTTTAATACTGCGAATGAGTTTTATTTTACATACTCTATTGATAAATCATATTTTTGTCGAGATATAACTTTTTTTAAAAAAAATTATATGCAAAGAGTGTTATAGAATTCTAGAAGGTATAGTGCATAATTTGAAGTATACTATCAAATAAAGAAATTTTACAGTTTTTTAGTTTTATTTAGATGTACGTTATTTTAGATGGCTTCGTCGAAAACAAAGCATGTCTGTTAAGTTTATTCTTAACATGGTAAATAAAATGGCAACGAAGCCCAGTGTACTGCGTCTTATGCCGTAGTTTTTGTTATCTTCATACTCAAATACAACAAATAAAAAAAGATTTATTACGAAAAAACGTATAAAACAAATGATATATTTATTTCTAGACAAGTTGACGAACATGTAGCGCAACTGTATCGCTTTAGAGAACAGTTCTTCCAACACCTACTCATTCAGTGAAAGATTTAAGAAGAACTCTTACTCGACCTTAACTACCTACGCTTTGCTTGAACAATTCCCAACGAGGTTACTATAAGGTTGCAAGTCTTGTCAAAATGTAGTATGCAATACGTTGGGGAAAAATAGATATATACGAACAAACTACTACAGTCTAGCAACTAGTCTTTAAGTGTAATGTATTTTTGCTACAAAGAGCTCATAACGAAGTCAAATTTTGCAATTTGATGTCAAAACTAGCTAGTTGTTGAATCAAATAGCGTTGTGACTTTGATACATCACGATCTTGTGGTATCAGAGCTGTACTGCTGCAGACTAATTCAACTAAACATGAGCAAGATTGGGATTTCTATTCTCTGGGGTGCGAGGCTCGTCCAAAGTTCAAGCAGCTACAGTGTTTTGGATCACCTAAAGAACTTTGGGAATTCAGTTATTACGTAAATTTCTCAAGATGAACTTGAGAGCAGCGCAGTTATAACGAAAGTCTCTGATGAAAGGCAATGATTTCTTTCATGAATGATCTAACGTTAGCTTGAAATCAGGAAAAGAGACTATTGATGACTTACTTTCCATCGATGGTGCACAACAGCAGGGAGGGGATTGGTGGGTTTGGGGAAATTCGCTGAGGCACTAGTGTCCGGATTGTTCGTCAAATAGGTTTCCTTTCCTATAAAGAAATGACACTTTTTTGGCGGCTTATTGACTCAGAAAAATTTGAGAGTTAACGAATAATTTTGGCGCCAAAAATAATTTCTCTTAATTTATTAAATTTAATATACGCACATCCATAAGTTATGCTATTTTTTCTATTTATTTTGTTCTAAAATTCTAAATATTTTTTTTTCATAACATAAAATATGATGTCTAGTCTCATTTACATAACAACATGCCTTAGAATAGGTTTTTTATTCTTTTTGTCACTTTAAATTAAGAATAAAAAGATAATTTAAATTGAATATTTGCGATTATTCTCACTAATGCTGCTTCCTCTTTTATTAGGTAGACAACAAAAAGTTAGCCTTGGACTCCCATATCAGATTTTTGATTGGTTGCGTATATAATGAGCTGGGATTAATAGACGAAAACCCAGTGAGAAAATTTTTGACGCCATTTTTATGAATTTCAGATTTTCTTTTCATTACTGCTTTTCTTAATAGGTCAAGTTCTTATTTACGTTATAAAGTATGATATTTACAAATATCAAGTTATCGTGTTTTTTGAGAAATTATGAGAAACAAACAAAAATGAAAAAGATAGGAATAGCAATGAATAGTGATGTGGGTATAGAAAATGTAAGAGATATGAATGCAAAGCAATCAGTATTTAGGACATTGACCATAGATTTCGAAAAAAAAATGCTGCATATTGAGCGAAAACTATGATTATATTATAAGGCTGTCATTTAAAGCATAATGAAACTATTCCCTTTTCATTTTAATCGAATAAGATAGTAAAGATTTTTGAATTAGCTAGAAACTGATGAGATGTTTTCACAAATCAGATTTTTAATCTCTATAATGCATAATTCACTCAATATCTCAATTTTGATATTGCGAGATATTTTTGCTATCGGTTTCGCAATTTTGACACAATAGCAAGAGGGTTCTATAAGCATTATTATCAACGTAGAATCTGAATATCATATCAGAAAATGTCGCAAATCTGACATTTACCCGACCAAATAGCAAAAATAATTGAATACTTTTCGCAAAAACTTTAAAAATCGATAAAAATATGAAATATAGATATTAAAGAGACTTTTTATATAATATTCATAAAGATTTTCCAAAAATATGATACCGCAAAATTAAAAAAGTGACGTCTTGAGTGGAGTCAAATGTCGAAATTGCTAGCTAAATGTTTTTTTAGCGAAATTGCGTATTGTACGTTTTTTTCGCAAAACGAAACCCTTAATTTAATCATATATAACAAGAAGATATTAATGTTAGTTTAGAAACAAAAACTTTTTATGCAGCATTCAATAACCAACGGCAGTTTAAAGTTATAAAAAATTCAATAACCAACGGCAGTTTGGATCTGGTAAAATCGTTTTAGATAAACGATTAATCAATTATTCCATCTATGAATAAAGATCTTAATGAACAAATAAAATTCAATTCAATCATAAGTGAACTATTCTTCTGGACAAAATTGAAAATGTTGAGGAATGACTGGGATACTTATTTTGGAAATTCGGGGCCTCCAACAGATTCTAAAATTGAATCCAAAGATAGATATGGTTCAACTTCTGATGGAAGGTTCTATTTTAGTCATTGCTACTTTTATGAATATCCAGATAGTGGTATTGAAATCAGTAATACTAATAATATTATTTTATTATGTGAGTATTCTTCATTTATAAGTTGTCAAGGGAAAGGTGGGCTTATTTTCAGATCTAATGGTCAATCTGTTTTAGATCATCTATGCTTCTCCTTTTGTTGGAATTCTGATATGGGGCAGTCATTTGATATTGATGCATATGGACGTTATGATGGGAGCGAATTCAATTATAAAAACTATGCTATAATGTGCTCAGTAACTAATTGTGGGAAAGACGAAGACACTGGACGAATTGTATTCGGTTTGAATTTTGGACAACCAATGATTGACAATGCAAATTTAAGTTCAAATAAATGTAAATCTGAAGCCGGATTTATCGTTTATCATGGCAATCCAGAATCCATATGTAAATTTATAATTGTTACTAATTGTAATTGTTCGGAAATGTTAATTCAATATGTTTGTACATCTCCATATCGGATTGCTAATTCATATGTTTCAGTTATTCAGAATAAATGCGGTGATTATATTGTTTGGTGTTATCATGGATACGATATTAGACTTAACAATTCTATATTTCTTCAAAATATGGCTGATTATGGATATTATCTGCCTTTTGATGGGAGTATTACTGTTACTAATAGCTATGTTGAACCAAAAAAGATATATGGAAATATAATTTTTAGCAACTTAAGAAATGATTTGTTTTCGATTTATCAGGATACTAGTGATGATAAAAACTGCAATAATGTATATTTGATTGTTGTTAAAGTCAAGCAAAAGTGTTCTTGCGATATCAATTTACATTCTCTATTACTATTTATATCTTTTGTAAATATTTTAATGCTAAAAGTTTAATTATAAATGCATTTTTCTCTTATACATTAATCATACATAAAATGAAGAATTGCAAGATGGCTAATTTGGATTGTATAATAATGTATGTAAATCAATATTTTTCAATGCTTTAATAAGTGATGAGCATCTAAAATAATCAAACTAAGTAAGGAAAACATTGTTTCTCCTTCTATTGATATGGAATTTATCAAAAAGAATAAAATGAAAACAAATATATGAAAAAAGAAAAAATTCAGGAGCAGGCCGGAATCGAACCGACTACCCAGGGATCTGCAATCCCTTGCTCTACCGGTGAGCTACTACCCCTCTTACATATTTTGTGTTTTTTTAGTTTCCAAGAACAAAATTGAATTTAATGGTATTTTGAATGTTCATTTTCGAGATTTTCACATAGGATTTCTCGTTTTTTGCTTAAATCTATAAAGTATTTTGCATTCATGACACACGATAAAGAGTTAGAGAGGGAAAAAATATCATCATTTCATATTTCAAATAATTTTTTTTATAAACATAATAATCAAATAAATAAAAAATATACGTGTATATCTAAACAAACAAAAACATAATTACTTGTTACTGTGTGCCTCTATTTCCAACTGTTTCTTGATTGCTTCAGCCAAAACAACCATTGACACAGGTTTTGTCAAAAACATGTCAACACCGCAGTCATTTGCAGGAGGAGCGGAAGAAGTAAGTGCAATAACTCTCACGCCTTGTATATCTCTTGCTCTTATCTCATCCATCAAATTCTTCAACGAGATATCAGGCAAACCTTGGTCAACAATCAAAACATTATATTTCTGAGCTGACAATTCTTTTAAGACTTCTCTTCCACTTGAAACACAGCAATGAGTGCATTCCATCTTATCCAAAATCTTCGACATGATGATCTGCGATGTGACATTATCATCAGCCATCAAGATATTCGCTTTGACCGCGAAAACCGTTTTTTGGACGATATTTGCTGAAGCAGAAGAAATTTTCGGATTAAACGATTTGGCTCTCAACAAAATCTGTCTCAAAACTGAAGGAAGAAGAGGTCTTATTACTCTCATTTCTCCATCAGACAATGGCTCATTCTCTCCATCAAGGGAATCGTAAACAGTTATAACTATCAAGTCAGGGTATTGCTTCTTCAAATTGCTCGCTAATTCCTTCTGTTCTTTTTCAGGCATAATGAATAAAATTGAAGGGGGAGTATCGCTTAAATCCGGGTAGAACTGAATTTCACCACCATAGAAATCAGTGTAAGTTTTGATTATTGGCGAAATCACGTGCTGATACGCGAAAGCCAATGAGCATCTCTTAGATCTGATCGACTCAGGAACGTAAGGAATATAAATGACATCGTAAGGGAAGAATAATTTGAAAACAGATCCTTTGTCAATTTCACTTGAAACCATGACATTTCCTCCGACCAATTTCATCAATTTTGTGACAACACTTAATCCAATTCCACTTCCTCCATAAGGACGTGTAATTGAACCGTCAATCTGTGTGAATGTATCAAAGATTGACTCTTGTTGATCTAAGGCTATTCCGATACCTGTATCTGAAACAGAAATCGTTATTCCGGCGGTTGTTTCTTCAGAAATGTCAACGATTATTTTTCCTTTTTCTGTGAATTTGACAGCGTTTGAAACAACATTGGAAACAACTCTTTTCATGATCAAAGGATCTCCATACAATTTCAAGGCGACTTGCGGTGGACAGTTGAAGTAAACCTTGATGTCTCTGCCTCTGACTTGATGTCTTGCATCGTTTACAATTGGCTCCAAAATTTCAATTAAATCAAATGTTGAATAAGTCGGAGTCAAATTTCCTGAGTCGATACGAGACAAATCAAGTGTATCTGTCAGTAATTCACTAAGTCTGTCAAATGAGGATCTGACTAATGCCAAAGTCTTCTTCAATTCGTCACTCGATGGAAGCATAAACATTAATTCTAAAACTGCAAGCATGTATTGCAATGGTTCACGGACTTCTGATGAAAGACGGGCCAGGAAATCAGTTTTGGCGGATAATGCTTCGATGGCTGACTCTTTTTCGGCTTCTAATTCGTTCTTCATTTCAATTAACTCCGTTGTGTCGAAGTAAACTCCGAAAAGAGTACCAGGAACATCTCCTCGGCCACCTCTGAGGTAAAGCCATTGAAGAGATTCGAAGATAATTGGAATTTCAACTTCAATTGGTGTTCCGTCCCTCAGACAGTCTTCGAAGGCCTTCCTTGCACGTTCTTGGAAGTCGAGGGGAACTTGGAAGTTGATACTGGACCATGAAAGTCGCAATGTCTCAAAACTCAATGGAGAATTCATGAAAATATGCTGTTCTGTGTCGCGCTCGTAGAAGGACCACTTCACAATATCTGCGTGGTATAGCGATTGGTCGATGATTTCTTGTACTTCCGTCAATTTGTCATTTGTATTCTTTGTCTCGTCAACGTTAAGGGCTATGACTAGGACGGCTGATGGCGTTGTCTGGAAGAAGGCAAATTCGAACCATACGTATGCGTTAACGTTCGGGTCGAAGAAATGAACAACGCATTTTGGAGTATTTTGAGGAGATACGGACGAGATACAGCCAAGGAATATTTGTCTTTGGCTTTCTTCCATTGACAATGCGAGCTCATCGATTTTCTTGATGTTTGTTTGAGTAGATAAAGATAATAAGATATTTCCCGTAGATCTTTCGAAAGACCATATGGCAATGTACTTCATGATACTTGGAGATATCAAAGAATTGATATCGTTCTCGTTTGTTATTGTATTTTGCATCTTGAAAACATATCCAACGAATTCTCCATTAACTGTTTCATTGGCGATGCCAGAATACAATAATTCTTCGCCTTCGCTCGTTCTAAGTCTGAAACACTTCACTTTTTCACTCATCATCTTTACATCAGGAACATCTTCAGGAACAACGAGATCTAAGAGGTTTAGGTTGTCATCCTTGAAGCCAAGCTCTCTTTGCAATGTGTTATCTGCAAGTTTTTGTGGTGTAATGAGCTTGTGGAGGTGTAATGAAGATCTAATTAACTGTTGATCGTTATGTGCTGCTTCTAGAGCCTGTTTCGTCTTTTGGTAGGATGTTCTATCAATAATCAAGGCTGATTTGATTGGGCTGTTAAGGATTTCATCGTAATTCGTTTCGGAATAAATTTGGATGAATTTATTGTCATCTGTTGAGACCAATACTCCTTCCTTAGCATTCTCAGGTATTTCTGGACGCTCCGATGCATTGACTTCGATGTAAATTGGTTCTTTCATCAAACTGATCAAATTCTTGAATCTGTGACGAAGAACGTCCATTCTGTAAGGCGAGAAATTGATATGGTAAAAGGTCATATACTGTAAAGCTAAGAATGAAAGCTGTGTTTCGAGATCAACGTGATATACTTCGCATTGAGACAAAACAATGATAAAATAGTAACGCATTTCAGTGCATTCTGTTGTAAATAAGGCTGCTTTCTTTCCAAAGAGCTTAACGCGTTTTGTTCCGTCTTCTTTGTATAATTTAAGAATTTCGCGCGTAATATCTTGAGATTCTTGGTTCGTATGGAACTCTACGATCTCAGAAAGCGAATCGTTACTCTCCTGGAACAATTCAACAGCTTCGAAATCGAATGTTTCCATAAAATTGAAAATTAGCTTCTTAAACGTAATGAAATCGTTACAACCACTAAATAAAGCTTCTATTTGTTTGTAGTAAAGCATGAATAAAACCTGTAATGTAATTGCTTGTTGTGTAGGCTTTGTATCGGCTTTATCTTGGAATATTTCGATTTCCGCTGTATCAGAGACTGCACAGACCTTGACGCTGAGGTCTTCGCTCTTCTTGGTAAATGTTTTGATGAATTCTGGATCAACGCGATCATCTCTGAACTCATGAGAGTTACGGATATCGATATTGTCATTAGAGCTTACATCTTCAAAGTTACTGTCGATATAAAGTACGAGGAGATAATTTGAAAAAGTTGTAGGGAAAAGAACCAAATGGCATGTAATATTATTGACTCTATCCGATTTAAGCATGCTGTAGGTGTTCTTTTTCGTTTCAAACGTTTCGTGAACTAAATTTAGTAATTCATCTTTCGATAAATAGGGAAAAGATAAAGATTTTGGATAATAGTTTGCATTATTATCGATAATGAAAAATTTGTATTGATAATCGCCTACGATTTCACGTCGTAATATAAGAAAATACAAAATTAAAAATCGCAAAATTAAAATCGAAACGAAGAGAGTTATTATGATCCTAGAAAATGAGTTAATTGAAAAATTTATTTTGGTTTTTAAGTTAAATTTGCTTGTTGCTTCTTGTTTTTCGAGAGTTTGATTGCTTTTCTTGATAATATAGGAACTTGTGGGGAAATTTCCGAGAATTACTGTATAATTTTGTTGTTTCAAGCATTTCACAGAACTTTGGAGGTTATCAATCTGTTCTGGGATTGAGACAATATTATTTTCTCGAGAAAGACAAGAAACTAACAATCCAGACGACGCACATTTAACTATGGGGACTAAGATATCTGGTGGAGTGCCAGAATCTAGTCGTTGGATTGAAAGTATAAAAGGAATCATTTTGAAAAAAAATATTTTGAATGTAACGAAGTAAATTTTATTCTTTTTAAATAGGGTATTTGATACTGTACATATTTTTATTCTTAATTATTGATTTCTTCGATAGATAAAATTTACACTTTTATTGCGTTTTTATACAGGCGTGAAGCCTGTTAAAAATGCAATAAAAGTGTAATTATCATACTAATGATTATTTTTGATTCTTATGCCGAACAAAGGTACATTCACTATTTTTGACAAAATTTTAAATTTTCATGGGGTTGTAAATCTTATAATAACTAGATGAATAAGGAATGAATTCCAGTATAATGTGCATCATTATATTAAACACTATATGTAAGGCTAATGATTCTATTAACACTTATGAAGATCTATAGTATTTGAGCAGATAAATTTGATAATTTCCAAAACTCTTATATTTCAAAATTAAAGTGTGCGAATGCATTTAAATGAGAGCAAAAAGAGATTGATGCTGTTAAAACTAGGTGTTAATTTGCAATTATTTCGCATCACAAGAACTACCCAGTAAATTCGGCTATCTTTCTTTGCAATTATTCTCCATTATACCTATAATATAATGGTTAGGGTTTGAAGAAAAGTTACTAGAGAATTATTGACTTTTGAAATAATGCAGAATTTTACTTGAAGAAATCATTAATTTATGAGTTCCAAATTGCTAAGCATGACGAAGGATCATTAAATTTGCTACAATTAAATACACTTATTGCAGAATTAAGATTTTTGAAATTAAAAGTTTGAAATATTGCCTTTTTGAATAAAAATTTAAATTTTATTATATAATCACGATAATATCTTATAGAAATTAAAAGAAAATATTTTAAACCATTCAAATATTTTGAATGTCTTATCAATTTAAAATATTAAAAGATAGCTTGATTTTATCATCATTAGTTGTTATCAAAGTTTTCTTCTTTTGATGAACAACAGTAAATGATTTGTTAATAGCTTGTCTTCCTTTTTTGCACCAAAATCAAAATTCTCACCCGATCAGTAATCGAAAATTTTGTAGCAGGGAACAGGACAAATTTGCCACACGGCACTTTTTTAAAAAAAAATTAATGGAGCGGAGCGATACTCTGCTGCAGGAGCCCCAAGGCTCCCAATCATTACGAAAGGGAGCCTCAGGGCTCCTGAGAATCCATCAGCAGAGGCTTTTTCATTTGGCCTCTGCTGATCAAAGATTCGGCGAAGCCATTCTTCGTCTCAGGAGCCCCAAGGCTCCCAATCATTACGAAAGGGAGCCTCAGGGCTCCTGAGAATCCATCAGCAGAGGCCCTTTCATTTGGCCTCTGCTGATCAAAGATTCGGCGAAGCCATTCTTCGTCTCAGGAGCCCCAAGGCTCCCAATCATTACGAAAGGGAGCCTCAGGGCTCCTGAGAAACCTCTTTGAGAAGGTTTTCTTTAAGAAACCTTCTCAAAGATGATTGTCAGCATTCACTCAAAATCTACCAAGAGTTTCAAAGTTTCAAATCTATCTGAAATGAAGCTTTGAATCTCTTGTATATCTAATTGTAGAGGTACCTTTTCAAAATGTCTTCTATTGATTAAATTTAATCAGTAAAAGTCATTTTGAAAAGGTACATCTCTATAATTGCTATTGAGCATTCACTCTTGGAACCTTGGAGCTCTTGTGTAGTGCATGAAAACTCCAAGATTCTAGCATAAAACATATATCATAGACATAATTTCTTCAAATATAATTTAAGGTTATTTTAAAAAATGAGAAAAGCGTAATTTAAGGTTATTGAAAAGTGACACTTGGCAAATTTGTCCCGCACTCTTTGTAGCATACGATTATTTTCCATTGAAAAATTATCACTAAAAAACTTTTAAAAATTAACTTTTATTCTTAATTTCATGTATGAAGGAGGTAGCAAATGACTTTAAGATTGACATCCTATTCATGGCTAAAGTTTTAGGAACTTTGAAGCCTAATTTGATATTGAAATTTTGGAAGATCAATGAATATGGGGATAAAAGTTGCATATCCTTGGACATTAAGAGGACATGTTATGAGAGTGGATAGCGTTCGACGATTCACTGAAAAAGTTACTCCTCGAAAAGACTATCAAAAGCCATCAAGTTTTTTGAATATTTTCTATCGTCTTTTTATTTTTAGTAAATTAGGATGCTCATTAAACAGTATGATTAAATATACAAAAATTTTTAATTTATTTTTCAAGGAAAAATAATCGTACGCTACAAAATTCTTTCGATTCATCATTCAATTGAGAATGATAATTTTGTAGCATATTTAGAAAAATGCTCGGTCGCTGGCGCTCCCTTCGCATTTTTCTAAAAAACGCTACAAAATTATTAAGTTATGATGATAATCTTGCACTCAATTTTGAAACTCTCTGATTTACAAGTAAGCATTCCTTTGGAAAAGCAGTCCTATTCTGTTTTCAAGATATTTTAAAGCCTCCATTTCATACAATGCGCAGATCTATTCGAAATTGCAAGAACTCTCAAGAAAAATGCAGCAGCAAAGAAGATTCCATAGTTTCTAGCATCAAAAATTTACAACCTTAATACAACAGTTAAAGAGAAGCTCGAAAAGAAAATATTTAACCATAAAGCTGGAAACTATTCGATATCTACTATTGGATATAATAAAAAGTTAATTGTAACATATTTTACATGCTATTTGCTGACTCTGTTCCATTATATTACCATATATATCTTTTTGAAATCTAAAATATTTTTACGATTTTAACTATGTGTTGTTGAAACCATATATCAATCTTAGCTAAAGTATAGTTTATGAGTTTGTCACCATCTAACGTATGAATTTTCAAAAATGTCAAATATGTTCATTTTTTCTGTATATTCAGCCATAATTTCACGTTGTTATACTATTCAACTATTATTTAATATTTTTATCGATTTAAATATATGATGAGATGCTTAGTTCTCCCGGAAATCGATTTTTAATCGCAATTTTAACTTTCCAAAAAAAATTCAAAAATAAAAATCCCTCTCAATTTTCTAAGTTTTCTAACTCGCCAAATCTCTAGCCAAATTTTTTTGGCCCGTATAAATATTGTTAGGCACTATATAGGGATGCTATTTATCCTATTTTCATCCCATTTTACTGTTATCGCCTAGTGAATGTACCTTTTGCCGAACAGCATTTGCATCAAAAATAATCGTATGTTTGATAATTTTCAATTTATAATTTTTGTCACTTTTCAATTTGCCATCATCTCCAACACTCTCTCTTGATATTATCCTTATACTGTATTGCATAATAAATCCCTACACTCTCTTGATATGAATGCACTCCACAATTCTATTCATAAGGCTACCTATTTTAGAAAATTCTGGATTACAGATATTTATTGAATGAATTAAACAATCTACGATCTGAATGACTGCTCGTTGTTATGAAATACCATAAATTGCTTCAAAATTGAATAATAGCTTAGGTATGAAGTTTTATTATTCAACACTATGAATAAAATGACGATTTTTTTTATCAAGCATAGGGATGGAAAGTAAGTAGATAATTTTGGCATTGCATAACTAATAATATGCAATGCACCAGTGATTCATATGGCATTATTAAATTTTAAGGGTGCACTTACGCCCCTATGACATGGCCTTTAATTCAGATGTTTAAGGTTAATTTTAATGACGCTTCACGCCAGTTGTCAAAAATTTGAATGAAAGTCAGATGGGCGTAAGTGCAGCCTTAATCCCAATAGTTTAAGTTAAATCTATATTTTCTCTCAGACTAATATTACACTATGAAGAGCTGTTAATTAGGCTTCTGCAAAATGGCACAATTTTTGATACTTTGTGCCTGCCAGTGGCTTTTTCGATTTTTTTTTAAAATCGTGCCTCGTGCAGTGGAAAGGATGTCGCCCTTCGGGCTCCACCCTTTCCACTGCACTCGGCAAATGCGCCCAATTATTAAATATGCTCATTATTATTTTTTCCTCTTTTCCCTCCTTTTTTCCTTTTTCTCTTTCTTTCTTCTTTTCTTCTCTTTCTCCTCTTCTTTTTCCTTTTTTCACGTAAATTGGACAATATTTTTTCTAAAATGAGAAACAAAAACTTTTAATAAATCAATATTCATATATAACTGAATAAAAAGAAAATGATTTTACTAAATTTTTAAAGAAATCAATAAAAATATAAAATTCAATTTTTATAAAAAACATAGTTAAGGCGAGTTCCAAGGGAACTATAAGAGTAAAGTCAAAGTTATTTTCTAATAAAGTGAATAATCCGATGATAACACATTATATTTTTGAAAATTCAGGTTGTTAATTTCTATTGGAAAATTACAAAAAGTGAGATGCGCGAGAATCGAACTGTTATTTTGGAATCATTAGTATTAATTTTTATGTGGATTTTAAGCAAAGCATCATATATATGAGAAGAGTGTATATGGTTTAGCTGATTTTAAATTTTACAAAAAATTGAGAGTATGTACGTTTATGGAATCAAAAGTGTCAATTCGCTCAGCAAAAGCTGAGCTAGCTACCTTCTCGAAAGAGCAAGTATGAGGTAAATAAGTGTGAAACAGAAGTTGACATATTCATGCTTATTCAAAGATTTTAAACAATTCGAAATTCAATGAAATTCAAAAGACATCATTTACATCCCTGACTGATCCACAAAATGTCAGAGATGTAAGTTTACTCGAATAGGGCAATATTCCTTATGAAGTCTCTCATTGAATGAGGGGCTTCATAAGGAACATTGCCTTAAAGTGCTCTTACTACCCTTCCCTAGTTCTTGAAGGTGTAGGATTCTGTAAATTTACTCGAATAGAGCAAAGTTCTTCCGAAGTCTCTCATCAAATGAGAGACTTCGGAAGAATTTTGCTCTAAGGTAATGTAATTGTAGTCTCTGGCTATTTGCAGGTCAGAGAATGTAAATTTACTCGAATAGAGCAAAGTTCTTCCGAGGTCTCTCATCAAATGAGAGACTTCGGAAGAACTTTGCTCTATTCGAGTAAATTTACAGAATCCTACACCTTCAAGAACTAGGGAAGGGTAGTAAGAGCACTTTAAGGCAATGTTCCTTATGAAGCCCCTCATTCAATGAGAGACTTCATAAGGAATATTGCCCTATTCGAGTAAACTTACATCCCTGACATTATGTGGATCAGGGAGTAGTAAAACATCGTATGAGGGATAATAATATAAAATCGTTAGAGGATAATACTGATGTGGCCTCGCTCCTATGCTCAAGCAGATGTGTTGTATAAATGTCATAACACCTTTGAGTTTTGGGTTGTTTGGTTGGTGACCGTATTCAATCAACAGTGAGATATGCAAATTATGGAGAATATTCAAAGAGTATATCTTCTCTGAGAAATTCATCCATATATACAAGAATATGAGAATCAATTAATAATTATAAAACATCAGAATTATCCTTTTCCTACCATTATTACAGATATATCTCAATAAATTATAATTAATAAACATTTTCATTATTTAATTGTTGACCAAAAGTATTAATAGGCAATACAATTTTAATTTCAATAAAAAAAAATAAAATAAAATAAAAGGGGAAAAATTTCAAATTTTGGGGACAGTTTAAAAAATTCGTGCCAGTTGCCAGTTTCCCAAAAAATTCGTGCCACTGGCTGTGCCAGTATGCAGAAGCCTACTGTTAATCCAAATTCTATTTTTTTTACTCAATGAGATTTGAACTATTGTAAGTTCATTTTAGAACTTAAGGCTGCACTTACGCCCATCTAACTTTAATTCAAATTTTTGACAACTGGTGTGAAGCGCCATTGAAAATTAACCTTAAACATCTGAATTGAAGGTCCTGTCATAGGGACGTAAGTGCACCCTTAAATATAATTTTATTCGTAAAAAGAAATTAACATTTTTTGTTTGTTTTAATTAACCAGGATTATGCACCTCGAATATAATGCTTTGGTGTAAGATTGGCTATATATTGTGATTGCAATTAAAAAAATTATGTATAAACTCAGTGCCAAAAGTTTAATTATATATCGTCAAAAAAAAGATATCTGTGTGGAGTCATTAGTTTTTTGCGCCATGTGATTTGAGGAGTTGGGCCGTTTCTTTACTATTATTTTTTGTTGCTTCATGAAGAGCGGTTTGCCCAAATTGATTTTTTTCATTGATATTTATACCTAGTGAAATAAGAAGTTCGGCTGTTTCTTTGCTATTACCAAATGCTGCATCATGAAGAGCAGTTACTCCCTCATTATCTTTTTCATTGATATTTGCACCATGAGAAATAAGAAGTTCGGCTGATTCTTTATCATTAACATATGCTGCAATATGAAGTGCGGTTTTTCCTTCTGCATTTTTTGCGTTGACATTTATACCGCGAGAACTAAGAAGTTAGACTGTTTCTATATTGTTTCTTTCTACTGCAATATGAAGAGCGGTCTTTTTATTATAATCTTTTTCATTGATTTTTACACCATGCAAAATAAGAAGTTCAATGGTTTCTATATTGTTATATTTTGCAGCTTCATGAAGAGCGGTTTGCCCAAATTGATTTTTTTCATTGATATTTATACCTAGTGAAACAAAAAGTTCGGCTGTTTCCTTACTATTACCAAATGCTGCATCATGAAGAGCGGTTATTCCATATTTATCTTTTTCATTGATATTTGCACAATGTGAAATAAGAAGTTCAGCTGCTTCCTTACTATTATTTAATGCTACTGTATGAAGAGCGGTTTTTTCATTGATATTTATACCTCGTGAAACAAGAAGTTCGGCTGTTTCCTTACTATTACCAAATGCTGCATCATGAAGAGCGGTTTTCCCTCATCAAAATTCCTGTTCCAATAACGATTCATCAAAGTATTTTATTAGATTCAACAAAATATGATGTAACACTTATTATGCAAAGCTTTTCTGAAAATGGATGGGATGATGTTCTTGTTATATATAAATGAATTATGAAGATTTATCGATCTTCTTAATTTTAGATGCAGATATCAATGAAAAAGTTCCATATGACTAAAGCAGAAATCAATAGCATAGAAAAAATGAAATGCACATTACAGGATTCGACTTAGAAATTAATGATTCGAACCCACAGCATGAAACAGCTCTTCATATAGCAGCAATGAACAATAGTGAAGAAATAGTTTAAATCCATACTTTGCACCCTTCATATATGAACATGAAAGAAATACTCGAAAATAGTACTGCCTACATTTGTAATATCCAGAAAAATAATAATAATTATTGATTAAGAGATCGATACAGGTGAAGGCAATCAATGGAAAGGAACGCAAAAGAATTCATTGGAGAAATTTGGTTGACCTAATGTGTTTTCGTGTAATTCAAAAAACTTTCCATAATTTTTGTTGGTAAAAAAATTGAATTCAATTTTAGCATCAATTTTGAATTGGCAAAATTCTCATTCAATTTTCATTGATATATATAAATCGATGACAAGCGTGAGCCTGCCTATTAGTAAGCCAGATATAGAGCCTAACTCTATCTTTTATGGTAGCGAAATTGTCCCAGCTTATTTGTTCAAGAAATTTGATCAAAATCATACTCATCCTCCACAAACAGGAAATATACTTCATATCAATACATCACCAAAGAAATTAGTAGTTATTGATATCGATTATAAACTATTACCCGAAAATACCAAAAATACTTTAAGAACTCAAATTTTAAGCGAATTGGATAAAATTAACGAAGAAAAGGTAATTGTTCAGACAGAACATGGAGGCCTTCACATATATGCAACTTTCAAAGACTTAATTCTGAAAAATCAAAATAGATTTGTTGCTGTAAGTAAGAATGAATGCTATGCAATAGATATGTTCTTTTCTTTACCAGTGGCCCAAAAATCCAATGTCGTATTTCCTCCTTCATTTGTTCGAGATAATGAATTTAGTCAAGTTCTTTCTTATTCATTTTTAAGAGGTGACCACAATTCAGTAAGTGTTCCTGATGTTAATACCATTGTTGATCATTTATCAAATGTTATTGATATTAAAGGAGTGAAAGACTTATTAATTGAATTATCTCACGAGCCAAGGATTGTTGAAAAGAAGGAAAGAAAATTTCCTCCATTTGCTACTATCAAATTAGGTGAGGCATTGATTGATGGTTTGATTGGCATCAAAATATCGACATCTTTGAAAAATCAAATAAGAATGAAGTATCTTTAAGCGAGGTAATTGAAAGTATAAATTCTATGGGAAAATTAATCGATTCTGATGATAAAACAGTTGAAAAACTCATTCAAAGGCTCAGATCAAATATTAATATTGACCAAAGTGATTTTGATGTAGTATTATCCAAAGTTGGGGCAAAAGAATCAAATTGGGGTCAAATGATGAGAATAGTATCTAATTCAAACTTTCAATATTATTGCGAAAAAATTCAGCCACTGACATCTATGAGCAAAGTTAAAAAATAATGAGTGTTGCATTTTGATACCTAGGCTTCATGTTCACTAGAATAAAACCATGTTTTTATCCATAATTAATAATTTTTTTTTAAGAACTTGTATCACACTCTAGCAATAGTATTTTAAGTTTCTGTCTTCAGGTAGTATGAATTATAGAGAATTAAAAAAGAAATCAAAATAATAAAATAATATTTAATTCAAACATAAAGAAAATAGAAAAGTATTCTTACAACTAATATCATTACACATTGCCACCACGTTCAATGTTGATTCTAGTTTGTTCAGTGTATTGATCGTAAGCGCGAGCAAGTTTCCTATTAAATCTTCTATTATTATCATTAATAAAGTCAACAGATGTTTTACCGCTAATATCGTAGTTACCTGCTCTTTCGTTTCTTGCTTTTGATTTTTCTTGTTTTTTGATAAGATCTTTTTGAAGTCTATCGACGGCTTCTGGCTTGGCATAATCTTCTGATGTCTTGATTCCTTTTTCTTTTCTATCCTGATATTCTTTGAACAATGTTTCTGGTAATTTATTAATTGATCTAAGATATCTGTAAACATCTTTGTCTTTGAGATGATCTTCAGATGATGGTCCATATGATGCTTGTTTACTTAAATATGCTATAGGAATGTCGTATTGATTTGTAGGAGCGAGTCTTGTTTGTTTTAAACCATAAGAATTCGATATTTCGTCAATTGATGCTTTATTGTTTTCTTGTAATGTCCTGTTCAAGCGCATTTCCATCTCAAAATAGCGTTTTTCGAAATCTTCATCCATTTTGTCACTTTTTAAAATCTCGTCACATTTTTGATTTTAATAAAAAAAAATAAAAAAAAAGAAAATGGATGTTTTTTCTTTTGTTAAAGATCATCTTGAGAAGATGTCATCAGGAGAGTTTGTTCAAGAAGCAACTGATGGTCTTGATCTAGAATTAATTCAAAATTCTCAAGCAGAAGTCGCAGAAATTTTAATGAACATTATTTTCTCTAACGAAGCAGAATTACTTCGCAAACACGCTTTATTTTACGTACAATATCTTATCAGAAGTCAATGGGAGAATATCAATGAAAACATTCGAAATTTTATAAAATCTTCATTTTTAGAACATTATCAATTAAAAGTTGATCCTGAAATCATGAAGAATGTCCCAGAATTTTCAAAGCGTCTTATTTATGCTTCTTTTACTAACGAAGGTTGGCCAGAATTTTTTGATGCAATACAATTATTTTTAAATACAGAAGAATTAGCAATAAAAGGTCTTATCATTGCAAGATCATACATTTTAAATGATACTAATCCTGAGTTTGTTGAATATTTGATAAAATATTTATTATCCTTACAGACAGACAATTTACAAATTATACAATTAGCAATAGACCTTTTTTCAGACATATTAGATAAGAATCAAGAGCTTGCATTATTAGAAATGGGAAATTTTTACAATAATTTCATTAAAATTCACTATGAATCGCTTTCAAGGAATGAAATATCAAGCGTTCTAAGATTTATGATTATTTTGACAGCAAAATCTACAGAGTTTTCATCAGAAATTGCTGAATATGTCTTTTCTTACATTTTTGGCGACGAATGGTCCCAATTTTCACAAGATTTTAAGTGCAGACTACTTAATATATATAGTAATCTTCTTAACAATGCTGATTTAGCTTTACAAATCATTGATATTGAAAGATTACTTAATTTAGCTTTATTAGAGTTCAATGTTACTCCCGAGATGTTCAATGGTGATCCTTGTGAGTTTGTTAACAATGTTGATGAAATTGGACCTGATTTTGAAACAACAAAATTATCAATCCATTCTCTTATCAAAAAGATCACAAAACTGTACTGCGATGGAGATGTGATTAAGAATTTATATGATATAATGTTATCGCAGGCAGAAAATTATCCTTTATTTACAATTTTACAAATTTTGTCTCAAATTGAGCCAACTAAAATCATTCCAAGCTACTACATTGATATATTTAAATCATACTCTAGTAGCGATGACTTCACAATTCATGCCGCAGTCTACATGTTCATCTCATCTTCAAATGATTTGAAACTTCCAATCGAAATGTGCATGGAAATGTATAAAGCAATGCAAGAAGACGAGTCTAGGCTTGTACAATACTACGCAGCCATTTGTGCTTCGAAATACTTGTTCAAAACAGAAGAATTTAAATCACAAGTAGACTACAATGATTTTATTTTCTTGTTTGGTCAGATGTCCGACCTCGGTTCTGAATTTGGAAGTCAAGATATCTTGGAATCCCTTTACTATTTAGTGGAATCTTGTGGAATGAACAGTAATATGCCTTGTAATATCATTGATCTCGGGTTTTATTTCTTGAATTCTATTGATGTAAGCAAATTTAACGTAAATGAGGCAATTCCATTTTTCTCTTTCCAAACGATTATTAAGGCTTCATCCAAGTTTGAAGGAGAAGAAGATATTGCTAAAATGCAAGAGTTTGCTTTGAAATTATTATCTGTCGCCCAAGATTTAGCAGCAGTTGAGGCCAATGGCAATCAATTTGAAGAGCTTATAACTACTTTGTTGTTGTTAGATGCTTTTTATGATGTAATTTATTATACAAACTATTCAAATATATTTTGGGAAGTAATTGATGCTATTTTGGACTTTGCTAAGTATAAATCAGCACTTGAGAATGTATGTAAGATTCTTGAATGCATGATCTTTAAAGCAAACGAAGCTTTCCAGGATTATACTCAAAAAATCTATGTTTTCATTTTAAGCACTTTGAATGAAGACACAATTCAAAGTATGGCTCCACTTTTGACTGCTTTCTTAATGAAAGTTCCTGATTCTTTGAATCCAAATGAAATTGCTGAAATTATTTTAGGAAATGAAATAAATATTAGCTCAGATTTGGCAAAAGCAATTTCTCTGCAAATAAATGATGATGAAATCAAAGCTAAGTTGTTAGAATTAAGTGCATTTGATATGGATGAAGATTTTGAAGATGATGACATGGAATCTGATCACCACATCAAATGGTTTAGCGAAGAGTAATACTATTTATAATTTTATAGAGATATATAGAGTAAATAAGAAATTTGTAAAACAATTAAAGTATTTAAAGATTATAATATAATCCAATGATGTTCTATTCTGATGATATAATAATACATGTAATCATATGTTCCATATCAAATCCGATAGAAAAATACCAATTTGATTTTGTTATATATTCATTAATTTCGATGAATTTTTATATTTATAATAAAGTATATTCTAAATTTGAGGATTTTGTTCAGTAAATATTTGTGCTATTTGAGTTTTGTGTCACTTTTATTTTTTTGATGTCAGAGAAATTGAGTGATTACGATAAATCCTGGATATCTCGTGTGCTTGTTGATCTTTTTAAATGGCCACTAACACAACAGTTTAGACAACCCGTAGATCCAGTTCGTGATGGTGTTGAAAATTATTTCGATATTATTAAAAACCCTGTAGATCTTTCTACAATGAAAAAGAAACTCAACGAAGGCACTTATAAAACAATTCAGCAATTTACAGACGATATTCACTTAATGTACGAAAATTCACTTCAATATAACGGAAATAGTTCATATTTTACTTATATTGCAGCAGATATAGAAAAGTGGTATCTAAACCGTCTAAAGCTTAAAGGAAATAATGCAGAAGAAGAATGGAAAAATAGAGTTTTCGAAATTATCGAAAAATTAAACGAGCATAGAAAACTTAATCCTGCTGAAAGAATGCCACTATCGGCAGTTGCTGATCATGAATAATTTACCATATTTTTTACAGATTATTTTTTTGTTATAGAATATTACAATAAATAACTTAGATAACTTAAAATATTTGTAGCTTTATATGTTCAAGATCTTATAACCCATATCAAAATTCTTCAGATTTCAAATGAAAAATTTTAATAAAATAATTTAATGAATCTTAAGTAGAGAAACAAGAATTTTTGTATTAAAAGAGAAAAGAGATATTTTATTTCAGTAAACCAAAATGGTATTAGCAATTATTTGGAGAATAATAAAAAAATGTATTGAACAAACACAATGATGTGTTTTAAACATCGACGTTGATAGCTGCTTCAACAAGAAGATCGCATACTTGATCTAATCTTTGATCGGCTATTTTCTGGAAATCTTTTAAGTTTTTGTTAGTTTCTTTCTCCATAACCTTTGTTGTCTTTTCAATATCCTCTTGAATTTCTTTTTTAATATTTTCGAGGTTTTTCGCTGCTTCATTTCTGTGCTCTTCGATTTCGCGCTTTGCATCTTCAGCTGCCTTCTTCTGGATACGTTCTCTGTCAGCACGAGCCTGCTTCATGATCTCCTGGGCAGCATGCTCAGCCTCAAGGAGGACTTTTACTTGACCTTCCATTTGAAAGACGATTTTTATCGTCCTCCACCACACTACGTTTTGATCGTCCTCTTCGCTCTGAATAGTGAATCTTAGATTTTTAATATAATGAACGTTTTAGAATGATCATGAGTCATTAATTAAAATTTCAGCTCTTGTCCAAAAGCCGAAGAAGAATTATTCCAAAAATTTTGTATAAAACTGAGCCATCAGACTACTATAATATTTATATACTCCATCTTTGTGGTATTTTTTATTCATCTTGTCATCAAAAATGCATAAAATTATGAATCAACAATTTGAATATGAGATTTGTAATCAATATTGCTGGGTTATGTTAAAATCCGTTTGAATTAATGTGTTTTAATCCACAAGCATATTGATAAATAGATAATTTTTCAAAATTATTCTTTGCCCATTGAATTCAGTTTAAACCATAAAGTTGAGTAAAGTGTATAATTGAGTTTTGGAAGGATCTTGATACATAAAAAATAAAAAAAAATTATTAAATTTTTTGATTAATTATATGAAACAAAATCTATTTATATTCAATACATATCATTTTCAGATTCATTATCTGACTCATCGCCAGAGAATTGAGTAGGTGCAGGGCAATATCTTGCTTGTTCGAGCTTCTGTGTAACCTTTCTTGTATCGTCAGCCATAACTTCTGGATCATTAAGCATTGATGGTATAGCTGCTAAGTTAATGTTAGGATTATCTTCAGGCATTGGTACAGCTCTAACTGTTGGAACTAATTTAACTTGGATAACGGCTACATCATCAGCTCTATGTAATGCAGTATTAAATGATAAACTTGCCCTGTTGTTGGCTCTCCTTTGATGTCTATAATCACGATCTCTTGTTCCTGAAGTACTTTTAGACTCGCGACCTGGTCTAAGGCCAACAACTGGTGATACATCAATGAGATCTGATACTGGTCTGAATCCTGTAATTGTTTGTGGTGAAGATATTGGATTCAATTTAATATATTCGGCAAATTTATCTGGAAAACAGTGCATACATCTAAGGCGGATAACTTGATGTCTAATTTGTGCTGAAACTGTGTTAATAAATTCTGCAGGTAGAGCTAATTCTTCAAGAGTTAATCTTGAGAACTCATCAGGGTTCATCGTACGGTCGAAAATGTCCCATTCAAACTGGTCACTGTATACAACGGATTCAGTTGATGCTTCAATAAGAAGAACATGAACTGCAGATCCATTTTTTGCCCATTCAGTAGATGGAACCATTTCTGTAAGTTTCTTATACTCCTCAAGTTGTGATTCTATCGCGCTTAGAATTGAAGCTTCAATTGGTTGAATTTTTAAATCGTATGTTAAAGTTTTTGTCATTTCTTCAGGATCTGCTTCGTTTAGTTTGACTTGGATGATTTCGAACAGACGCTGGTCATCAAAAACAATGTTTATAAAAAATGGAACGATTTCGTCTGGTAACAGAACTGGTAAAGGCTCCATTTTTTTGAATTCGAAAAATGCCTTTTAGAATAAAAATATAGATCTGGTTCGTGGTGTTTACCACTGATTTTAAAATTTATACGGATATATCAATAGTATAAAGATTTGATTTTAATTGAGTCAGAATCATAAACTCTAAGTAGAAGGTAACTCTTTCTTGTATGGGATATGTTTAGAATTCTATCTAAATCTTATGAATTCATGAAAAAGAACAAAATAAAAATAATTAATACTTAGAATACCTAAATGGTTTATTATTGAAGTATATTTCAAACAATTTGTAGTGGTTAAAAGTAAAAGATGGTCAAATAATAACAAAAAATATTCGCCAAATTTGTTATTTCGAAGGCTCTGTAGATGGTTTTTGTATTAAAGCTGATAATTTTTCTAAAGCTTCTTTAACTGGCTGGCTCAGTTCGCTATTTTTCATTTTCAAATCTTTCCATTCTAAAGTTCCATCATTGCTTAATGGAGGGATATCCCATTTGAGGTTCTTAATGCTTGGGGGTGGTGATTCTAATAAGTTTAGTAATTTCTGAGCTTGTCTATTTATCAATATCATATTATCTTCTTGTTGTGATGCAGGAATTGGAGTGCATTCTTTAATGTAGCTATCAAGTAAGTATTGCGCAATAAAATAAGGCTGAGAATTTTTAGAATTGAAAGCCATTGCGTTCTTAAAAACAGCTTGCATGTCGTTATCCCATTCAAATACGTACTGGTAGATATTTAATCTGATTCTGTCTGCTATCTCTGATAAACTGATCGGATATTTAACAACTGCAAGATATTGATCGTAATTTCGAATTGAATTATGTGGTGGATCCCTAAACCATTGACTAAAGTTGTTTTGGATCATTAATTGCGTTTTTTCTGCACACCACTTCTTATGAAATGTAGTAAAAGGAATTGCCATTGAAAAAAAAGTGATAAAACTAAGTTATCTAATGGACTTTAGATAACATGTCATCTTAACTTATATATGTGTATTACCTAGGTAATTAATATATTTAGTCCCGCAAGTCTTTACTTAAAGGAAAAATGCGAATCCAAAATATATCTTATTAAATGTTACAGAGACTTACTAAAACTGCATGTAATCGATTTGGATTAAGCATAAATTTATACATTTAATCTGATATTAGTATATTTATGAAAAAATTAAAAATATTATTTTACAAAAAATCTATTTTTATATATTAATACAAACAATTTATTATATTTTTGGCTTTTTGATCTTCAAATCTGTTGGAAGATCAGCGGAAAGCAATCTTTTATCAACAATACTAATATGTTGGTTAATAACAGCGATCAAATGATCATCTCCTTGTACTTTATCAAGTAACTTCTCAAGGGCATCACGTAGTTTAAGTAGTTCGTCATCTGGCCTGTTTTCAATTACGATATCAGGAGAAAAAGACAATAAAGAGTCTCTGAAGTACGGCCTTACAAGGATACTTCTTCTCCATTCTATATATGTCTGAGATCGTTGGAACAACTGAAAATCAGCTGAAGAAAATTTAATTCTATTAATAATTTCTAAAATTTGAGGATAAGTTAAAGGAGTTTCAAGGATATCGGAATATGGATCTGTCTCAAGGTTTTTATTGAGTTTGGACTCAACTCTTTTGATTATTTTGTTCATTCTTCGCTGAAAAATTTCTCGAACTTCTGGAGCTGGAGCAACATTTTGATTTGGAAGATGTACAACGGTATGGAATTGCTTGCAACGCATTTCTGCAAGTATATTTGTTGTTCCTACAACTTTCCACTTTTTAGAGCCGTTAATTATGTCAGCAAACCTTTGATCTCCAAATCTTGTGTAAATTAGGATCGGATCTGCGTATTTTACGGGTGCTATTAGCGATAATGCAGCGAATATAGCTGCAGAAACTTGTTCAGCTGTATCTCCAACGAAAAGAACGCCTCTTCCTGTAACTATTGAATTCCAGACATCTTCGAGGACTTCTTTAGGTCCAATTAAAGAAACTGGGTCAAAATGTAAATGAAAAGCATGATTTGAGTCTAGAAGTGTTGAAAAGTTTTTCTGTGGATAAACTACGGATAATCTTGCAGTTTGAGGGTCATACTTCCATTGGCCGAGGAATATCATTGTATATTCGAACATTTCTTCTGGTGTATCTATAGTAAATGATTGTTTCATGGATTTAAAGAAATTAATAAACAAAGATGCAAAACAATGATGTGTAACTACGACAATTGAATATAATTGATCTTCACGTAAGAAAGTCCATGCAAAGCAAAGATGTTTATTGATTGTATATGCAAATATTGAATCTGTTTCTTGAGTTTCTGGAAAAGCGCATGTAATAAATGACTTCTTTTGCTTCCCAAAGTCAAAATCATCGGGTTTGTACATTACTACGTCCGGCCCGTTGTCCCTTGTATATTTGAGTAAACAACATGCGTTGTAGAAAGTACCCATTTGTTAATAAAATTCGTTTTAATTGATGAAAACAGTATCGAACTTGCACCGGAAGCAATCATCAGGTATTTTAACTTTAGTTCTGATGAAATATAAGATATGAAATCTCATATCATGAAGAAGATCGATGAGAGAGGATTTATCTATTTCACATCTAAGTTTATCATAAATTTTTAGTTTAATTGAAGATATATGTTGAAATTATTTATGACATAAATTTTATTAAATCAATTCTTGAAAAAAAGCGCAAGATTTAAATCATAATAAAAATTCAAATATTTATTAAACATCATTAAAATATGTTTCTTTAAGATATAGCGAACTCTCGCTTAATTTCGTATTATCGGAATCGTAAAGCTCATCTAAAACGTCCAAACATCCTTGGTCATAGAAAATTTGACGTGCTGGGAAAATTTCTCCGATATTAATCTCGGCCTTGAAGAAATAATCAAAAACTTCTATCATATATATAAGTATTGGTGTCTGTAGTGATGAATTAAAGAAACTGCAAAGTGATGTGAAAACTCCGGAATTATGTAAATTAAGTATGGCTTCTTGATCTTCTTTCTTTACAATCGATCGGACTATTGGAAGTCCTGCTCTTTTGGATGGAATGTTTCCTGATTCGAAGACATGAAAAAGATTATCGTATAATCCGACTTCTCCAAGGATTTGGTAAGTTTTTGTAGAGGAATTAACAAGTCCCTGGCAAACAAGAAGTGCATTGAAGCATATATCCAAGTCTGGATTAACAATTAATTCGACCATTCTCAAAAAACTACTATTTTTTGAATCATTGCCACGAAGATAGTAGTAACAAAGAGTGTTCAAGCTTAAACAGATGATTTCTTTGTTGGAATCATTAATTTCTTCCTCAATATAAGAATTTAAGTCAATGTCGAGTTCGTCAGCTTTAAATGCTGAATCGTACATTGCCGTAGACTTAATGATTGAATTGATGCATCGCAGCATGTTCAAACATAAGCTTTCTGTCATTCGGAAAACAAGTGCAGAAAAAGTAATGAATTTTTTGATATCGTCTGGATATTTTGATATTATGTCGCCATATGAGAGTACTTTGCTGATAACATCGAATGAAAACCTAAGAAAATCAAATTTTGTTTCAAATGGAATTTCATCGTTGTTATAAATACCTTTTATAATATCGATGTATTTACGACGTATGATATTGAATGATATCGTTTCGAATTGAGCAAGATAAATTAATGATTTTGTTGCAAAAATCGATTCATTTGACGGAAACGTTTCAATGTGGTTGAATATGATATCAATGAATGGTTCAAGGATTTTTGATTCTTTAGTTTTCTTAGAAATAGAGTTTAAAACTTTGTAACCTGTTTTTACTTGTGTTGTGTCTGAACTGTTGAGTAATTGTTCGACATATTGAAGAAACATAGCTTGATTTGTGTCATTGGGATTGAAATTGTAATATTTATAGTAATTTCGAATTGCTTTGATTCCTGTTTCAACAAAATTGCTGTTTTCTGATTGCAAAAGCTTAACAATGTCTTCTGGATATATTATATATTCGAATTTGTTTGATTGCATGGTTAAATGCTTTGCTCGAAGTACTTCCATTTTTTCATACAATAAAAATTTAATTTTGATTGATCACTGTCCCGAGATAGAAATGATTATAGTATACGGTCCCGAGAAAAATGTGTCGAAATTGTTACAAAGCCGTCAATGGCACAACAAACCTGTAAAGTTTTAATAATTGATTGAATAATGATATACTATTCGAATATAATCTATACTGTCTGAAATGAAAGAAATTTAATCACATTTGGTAAAACTAATTTTAATTTCATGAAATTATTATTCCTTTAATGAAAACATTAATATTTGAACAATAAAGTCGTAGATAATGCATTCAAATTTTACTTCCTCTTTTTCTAAATTTTTTACTTCCCTTTTGCCTCTCAATTTTATTTCAAATTTTTTGTTGCACGGAGTACGAGCCATCGTAGTAAGATCATAACGCACAAATGATTTATTGGGAAGATTGATATGATGTCATATCAGAAAGTCCTCTTCAAACCAAACATTTCCAGATCTCAGCAAAAGATTTCAAAAAGTTTTATGACTCCGAGCTATTACACCAAAAAAAGATTATTGGTTAATGGTTTTTTTAATGGTTGAGGAGGAATGAATTTATTCGCATCAATATAGAAAAAAAATATAATAATAATAAAACGCTAATCTTCCGGATTTTCTGTTGGTTCAGGAGTTCTATGAGGAAGGGGAACAAAGTTATATGGAACAGCACCAACTGCATGTGATTCGATATTACAATCATCGAATCTTCGATTGAATTTCATGAATCCTTTGATAGTACTGCTTTGTTCTCCATTGCCACTGCCAACAACTTTCAATGGTTCGATTTTTATTTGACCATTTTTATTATCTAAAATATTTTCATACGTCTTTCTGCAATCTCCTTTATTATTTTTAGTACCTGTTGTTGTTGTTGTTTGTTCATTACATGCATCATAAGCGACCCCAAAGTTAACTCCAAAGTGGGGAATAACCCACCACCATCGGTTAAGTGTTTGTGTATTTTCATCTGAATTAAGGGAAAGATTTAATTTTGTTTGTCCCCACCCAATAATCGTAACATCAAGCATGCCTAGAATATTTTCCCAGCCTGAATTTTGTGTTTTACCATCTAGTTTCCAATATCCTGAATAGACTCCTCCGCCATATCTGAAAAGGGATTGATAGACTGTGATGGAAGAAGTGACAGCACCAACTTCCCACAGATGTGATTTGATCCAGCGCCAGTTATAAAGGAAGTAGATTGGACATCCTGTTTCTGGAGCACCTGGATTGCAACTTCCTGTGAGTGCCCAGTGATGTTTACAACCTGTTAATCCTGGATAACATCTATCATCTGCGCAGTTAGCTCTTGTGAAATCAGAACGAGGTGCTTGCATAAAAAAAGTACGCTCTGAGTACTCATCACCTGGTTTATCACATGAAGTAAAATCTGGTGGATGATATGTCTAGAAAAGTTGATATGCGTTCAGAGGAGTTCGTTCAACACATGAGTCACCAAGAATATCACAGTCAAGAACAAACTGAAGAGAAAAGTTGACAAAGTCACCTGCCCAACGGGATACTGAAATCGTCATTGCTGATGTCACTGCTGGTGCCCAAGAACTACACAATGCTGTGACATCAAAAACTGGAAATTTCACTCTTTCTGCATTTGGTCTGATTGATCGACCAGGGTTGACATATGTATCGTTTTGATTTGAAGCATTTCGAAGGTTAGGAAATGCTGCAACGTTTGTTAATCCTGTGATATAGTTTCGATCAACAAAGTTGAAAAAATATTCGTTGGCACCAACTGGAACAGCAGAGCCATGATGATGTTGTGGAGGTCGAACTGGTGACAAAAATCGTTTGGCATCTCCAACTTTCATCTTTGCGAACTTTGGGTAAAGAGTTGCTTTGAATGGTGCATTTGGATTGTTGTTTATCGCATCAACCATCTCTTGTGTAACCAATGGATCCAAATCACTCAACGAACTAGACAAACACACTAAAACAAGAATCATTGATATAATATTTCGGTTTATATGAAATTTTGATTGATTTGGAGTTTGTTGTGGTGACGTTAATAACATATTCTTAAATCTACAAGGATATAATATTAATTAATATTATGGGTCAAGAAACGTTTGAATCTTCCAATAAAAATCTTATTGACACATGAAGATCAAGTTGATTTTATCTGTGGTATCTTTAACTTTGATTTAAGATGCTTTGTTACAAAACTCAATTTTTTACAATACATATCTGAAATTGAAAAGTCTGAATACTTGATAAAATATTTGAATCTTATTCTAAACTTTATTTATAAAAAAAACTCCAAGAAACCATCCAGAAATTGAATGTCCAAATCTTCCGAATTTGGTGGTTTAATTCAATTTTGAATATTGTCATAAAAATTTGAATCATATATCAGTGATAGAAATGTATTAAAGAACTGATTATATATCATGTTTGGGTAAGAAAAACAATAAAAATCGAGTTTGGCTTCAATTTGTATATCAGCTTAGTGAAAAATACTTTCAATATAATATATGAAGCTATGAATTATGATCATGAATGATGAAATATCGAATTTAGCGAAATAAATAAGCTTTTCAATGTGAATGATTATAATATCAAGAAACGATTCAATGAATTTTGATCTAACTTGGAAATCAAAAGAAAAAGCATGCATAGATCGAATTCAAATTCATAGTTCACCCTAAGAGAGGAATAGTGTAAACATGGGTGAAACGTTTCAAGAAAAATATTTTTAGAAAAGCCAAGAATCTATTTCTATCGAAGGAGAGAATTGCTGCAGATGAATGTTTTTGAGCGGGAAAGTTCTGATTCTTGGTAAATGTTAGAATGAAATATGATGCTTGTTTTTCTCATAATAATTTGTCACAAACTTGTTGGACTTATTTGAATTATGGAATCTTTGACGATTTCTATCTTCTCTTTGATGTCAATAATCTGCTTGTACTGATATAATATTCAAAGCTGTGATGTGTTTGAAGAGAACAAATCATTGCGTTGAAGTTCAGTTCATAAGTTCAGTGAAGTCTGAACTGTTTCATGAAGTTTTGTTCTGAAGTCATGTTATGCTTGAGTTTCCTAGTTTCTTAGCTTACGATTTATCTGCGTAAAACTTGTTTGCAAAGCAAATATGAGCTTCAATAGATTTTGAAAGTTTGATATATTCGATCTGAATGAATTGCGCAGAATCAAAGTTTCCGATTTTCTCAATTTTAAAAGTTTTAATCTATCCTTGAAGGTGAGCTTTTGAGATTTTTTTTATCATAACAATATATGCAGAAATATTATACACTTAAATTCAGTTTTGCCCTGTTAACATGTTTAACGAATTGTTGAATCTTTGATTCTGTGAACTTCGATGGATGAGATTAAGTCGTGTTCAATGTTTTTTTTTGTGATTCATTACATGCAAAAAAACTAAGCATTGGCTTATGAATTGCATGTGTGGCTTAAGTTCATTGGGTAATGCGATGATGAAGTTTTCGTCTAATTTCTGGTCAGCTTTTTCATACTTTGTGTAAATGCTGAATCGATAATCAAAGTTCCGATTGTTTGTTAACTTCTTTAATTAATGGTCAAAATTAATTTGTTTTGGAAAAAATCAATTGACTGGAGAATAATGTGTTAATCTTAGTATATAATATTTATGTAATTATCTATATGAAATTGGTTGGTATTGTTTTCAATATTTCAATATTTTCTAGCTCGAAATTTAGTGTACATTTGCAGTGTTTCCCTTTTTTAGAATGAAGTACAACTTTTTAAAAATTAAACCTAATTGAATTGAGATAGCATCAATTATTTAGCATTAAAGATATTTGATCTATTTAAATTCCGTGTGCTTCGCTTTCAAGTTCATGGATCCCTTTTTGAAATGATTCGTTTTGAGAGGTTAGATTATTGTTCATATACCTAATCTGAGTTTAATACCTATCTCTAATCTATTTCTATCGTAGGAGAAAATCATTGCAGATGATTGTCTTTGAGCAGGAAGGTTCTGATTCGAAAAGGTTCTAATGAAAAGTGACACTTGTTTTTCCGATAAGATATGTAATAAAAAAATCATCAAAATTTAATGTATTATATATGACAATTATTGAATTATTCATGAAAAGTTTTATATTTTTTGAAAAAATTCACAGAGATAACTCAAATATATCAAATTTTATTGATGTCTCAGCAAATTGATGAAATTCTCACCAAATTGCTATCTGTTCGAAAACTCCCATACGGTTCACGATGTGGAATAACTGCTGATGATATATTCTTATTGTGTCGGTTAGTTAAACCGTTATTTAAAAGGCAGCCTTGTCTATTAGAGCTCAAAGCAAATTTGGCTATTGTTGGTGATATCCATGGGCAATTTTATGATCTGTTACGAATTTTCGAGAAAGTTGGCTATCCTCCGGAAAAAAATTATCTTTTTTTAGGAGATTACGTCGATAGAGGAACAAATAGTGTTGAAGTTTTCTGCTTGCTAATGCTATTCAAGATCAAATATCCCGATAACTTCTTCCTCTTACGCGGAAATCATGAGTCAAGAGAAATGAATAAGGTTTATGGGTTCTACCAAGAATGCGTTAAGAAATTTAGTGTAGCGATTTGGAATTCAATAGTAGATGTGTTCGATTACTTGCCATTTGCCGCAATTATTCAAGACAAAATATTTTGCGTGCATGGGGGACTTTCTCCAATACTTACAAATGTTTCCCAAATCAATGAAATCGAACGTCCTACGGAAATTCCAACTAGTGGATTAATTAGTGATTTAGTTTGGTCAGATCCTGTAGAAAACGTAGAATTATGGTCAAATAGCGAACACCAAGTTGGGTTTGGTTTTGGAAAGAAAGCTGTTGAGAATTTTTGTCAAAGATGTCAACTTGACTTAGTTGTGAGATCACACCAAGTGCAAATGGAAGGTTATTCAATGCCAATTCCTGGGTGCGAGAGTTGTATTGCTGTTTTTTCTGCTCCAAATTATATTGGAGAATTCCAAAATAGAGGCGCTGTTCTTATGGTTGACAAAGATTTGGTTTGCAATTTCATTGTTTTCAGCCCATTGGATTGGTCTAAACAATTAAAGAAATCAAATTAAAAGCAAATTTTCATCAATTTCTCCTTGTTACTATCTATCATGTTATATTAATGTAATATATTCTTCTCTTATTGTTATTTCCTTCTTGTGTTAAAATTTAGAATATATATTTACAAAAATGCAGATCTTGCTGTTTTACTAGATGAATTTTTGATACATTTACTTCAATTAATATGAAATCAGTTTTCATCATCCCAAGAAATAAGTCTAAAATAATTTTATACAAATGTCGAATGGATGTTCTTTGTTGTCACCTTAATTATCTATCATCTTGTTTTATGTGATGTGAAAAAAGATTAGTGGGGATCATCCAAACAAAAAATTGAAATTCGAGGTAAATTTGGTCATTAGATATGGATATTGCATGGGATATATAAACTCTAAGGACTTATGAGCTAGTTATGCTTTTGGGAAATAAAGGTGAGTTATCAATCATTGATTCTTTCATGGGAAAAAATTTGAGAGCAAAAATTTTGAATTCAATTGGTCTGTAGGAGCCTAATTTTTAAATATTTTATTCCTTATCAATTCTAAACAATATCTTCGGATTTGAATAAAAATTTTTTCATAGCATGATCCCTTTCAAAATTTTGTATTATGAAATCACCATTGCTCAAATCTGAAAAAGGCTCGCATTATACTCAAAGGAGACTGTCTAAAAGCCTTTCTATAGAGCAGTTGCGTTATGAGCAGCATGGTCCTTTGCGTACTTTACTAGAATTAAGTGTTGGACCAATAATTTATATGGTTGGAATCGCCATTCATGATGCAATAGACTTATTACTCATTTCTAAAGCGTATTCGCAAACAGAAGTTACAATTGTTGGCTTTGCTTCGACCGTCAGATATTTATGCATGGCTGCGAACATTTATTTTAGCACAGCATGCGTTACTCGTACGAGTGCTCTCATTGGAGCTGATGATTATACTACAGCATCACAAGTTATTGCAGATTTATACAGATTAGCGTTTTTATCAATGATTATTATTCCAGTCATATGTTACTTCATCGCAAACCCTCTACTAAAATACATGGGCTGCACCGAACAAATGGCAGTTGAAGCCTGCAAATATTTAATACCTGAATTATCATTTATGCCTCTAATTTCAACATTTCAGATGTCATGTGGACTCTTACAATCTGAAGGTCGATCTATACTTGCAGGATTGATGCAATTTACTGCATTTGCTTTAAATTGTGGATTTTTTGGTCCAATTTTCCTTTTTGTAATCAAAATTCCATTTAGATATGCTGGGATTGCATTCTCTCTGTCGCAATCTCTCCCAGGAATAGTTCTTACAATACTAATTTTCAGTAATAAATTTGATTCAATAACTTCATGGTCAAATTTGATCAAAAAGCCGATTTCTGATATATACATTGGCCTAAAAATAGCATCACCGTACATTCTGAATGTTATTATGGGCCTTTTCCCTCCTTTGGTTGCAATTAATTTAATGACAACAGCAGCGGTTTCTCAAAACATGATTGCTCAGTGTGGACCATGTTTATCTGTCTTTTTCAAACTTCAGCCTCTTGTCAATTGTTTTTCCATTGCTTTTGGACAAGGATTACTCGGTCCAGGTACATATGCATACAGTACTAAATCCTATGAACGTCTCAAGAGGTTCTTTTTCTATGCTCTTTCGATCAGTTTAGTTCTACAACTTGTATTGATTCCTGTTTTAATTGCGATGCCAGTTCCTGTTGCGAAGATATGGCTGAAAGATCCAGAAACACTTGAATACGCGAGAATCATGATTCCGAAACCATTTTATACTAATTGGATAACAGGAGTGAACGAAATAGTCACAGCATTGTTACAATGCATGGGATATGCATGGACAGCGATGATGCCGAGTATTGTGAGAGGAATTTTCTACATTGTTTACTCATTAATTTTATATTACACAAATAAGACTAATTCTATAAGAATGATATATACATATTGTTTGAATGATACAACTATACTTTTGTTAGATATTATTATTGTTATCAAACCTCTCAAAGAACTATTTATACAACATTCAAAAATTGATGAAAAAGAAAGTAAAAAGAATGATATTACATCTCCTGGATCTGATTTAGTAGGTCTCACGGTTTGATTTGACACTTATATATTTGTTATATTTGTTTGTAAATAAATTATATTAAAAACATGACATGTTTATGTTTATTTTAAGGGATATGATATAATGATAAATAAATTTTGATAAATAAGGAAATTTAATGATGTACTAGCCCCAATGTGACTTTAATTCAAATTGCCGACAATTGAAGATCATGTTATATGGGCGTAAATGCCCCTTATATATTTATTGATATTTAATCAGATTAATCTTATTTGTTATTTAACGGATAACACTTCAATTGATATTACAAACATTGTGTTAAATACTAGGACATCACTGAAGAAGATCTGGCATCTAATGAGCAAAATCGCTGCCGCAGACCAGATTTTTCGCCAGCATAATGAGAACTATTTCACGACAAAGATTTGAATCCACAAAAGAAAAATAATAATCAATCTGCTGTGATAGAAGAAAAAAAAATCAAAGCATTCAAGACATAGTGTATATAGCAGTCATCAAGCTCACGATGGTCACAATAGCCCCAACAGAAAATTTTAATTTTTCTTATAAAATATCAGAATAATCCAAATTTGTTCTTCAACACAATCAGAGTAAATCTCATCATAAACACAAATTCAAAAATTATTATGAAGCAGAGAAGTCTCATTGATATGGAAATAATAGATTATGAAGAGTTAGAAATGTTTACTAAAGTTTGTAAAAAAAGAGAAAGTTTATTAACTTTAGAAATAGTTTTATTGATAATTGCAAATTCTGCTTGGCAATTACCAGTTGAAAAATGAATCAATTTGTTAATAAATAGTTCTCTTGGATTAGTAGGTACTACATTTCTATAAAATGTTGTTGAAATCGAATTGTCAATGTAACAACTATCAACTGTTAATTGATCATTATAGTTATATATCAAACATGAACCTTCAGGACCAGTGTTGTTAATAAAAGAACAACTTTTTACAGTAAGATAATTTCTAGTATGGTAAATAATTCCACTTTCTGATGTTGTTTTGGTATTATTTATAATATTACATGAATCAATCAAAGCTTTATACCAAATATTTATCACATCTCCATTAATATCTGTTGCCAAATTATTAACAACAGTTGTATAATTAAATTTTGTTGTGTATTGAAGTGATTTACCGTTAAAATATCCAACAGGTTGGTATAGAGCTTTATTTGATGAGAAATTTGTTGATGAAACTACGATATTATCATTCAATGTTTGGAAAATAGATCCACTATTTTCATTTCCTGCATCAAAAATGGAACTTTCAATAATAAAGTTTAAGTTATCTGTGTCAACTTCTGTATATGAAATTTGGCCTTATCCTTGACCTTTGCATTTTGTACAACAGAATTTGCGTTGAATAATAGAACTATTCTTGCCAATTTGGTAGTAAACGCAACATCCAACCTTTGTTGCCGTGCAATTACTAAAAGAACACCGATTATGTAGAAATAAAGTGTCGGAGATAGGATTGAAATTGATAACTTGGTCATGATCATCAAAGAAGTTGCACTCGTCTAAGAAATATTGTTTTTTTCCTGTTGGGAGATCGCAGTTTTGACGGTTTCGAGTTTCTTCACCTGTAAATTGAACATTGAAGTAAAGATTCCAGACGTAGTCATCCGCTGAGGATGACTTTCTTCCGAATTTATGCACACTGGCAAATAACCGAAAAATTCATTGAATTTATTGTATGGCTACTATTCACTTTTTAATACAAGTCATACAACTAATTCTATGAGTTTCTCACAAAAAGATCTTTGTTATTTCGGAAGGAAGCATCAAATTAGGAGGAGAAATAGACACCATGTAAACTGTTTATGCGGCACAATATACAAACAAATATATTCATTAGCAAAATATATTTTTCGAAATCTTGAGGCAAAAAAAAATGATTCCCTTTAACAGAGAGATGAAATCTAGACTATTAATAGTCAAGTATAATATGTTTTGATTAGTCTTAATCATATCTTATGTAAGAGAGAAAAAAATAAATTGCATATGAATAGATAAGTATTGACATCATGACTATATAAGTATAAACTATACCATATACATATATTATGTGTCACTTTGGATCTTTACAGCATTGACAGTACCAACTCATATATTATTGATAACATATAACTTAAGCCCAAATGTTAGGAATGTTGATAGTATTCATAATAACAAACTCAACTTGAAGTGAGAGAAAAGTATTATTTTGATCATATATTCTAGAAATATTGATGTGTTCAAATAAAAAAATGAATAGATGAAATGTAAGAATAGAATAAAAATCGATTTAGATTATAATAACAAATATAAAATAAACAAGAATAATTAATCATCGTCATTATCTGTTCCGATGATTCTTGAATTGAAGTGTGACTTCCTTCGTGACAACATGTTTCGAAATGGAGATCCTGGGGAGTCGTAATCAAATGAAGATCGTCCTCTTTTCTGTTGTGGTGTAGAAGGTCGTTGTTTCTTATCGGCTGGAGACTTAAGATGTTCGTACTTCTTCGCAAGTTCTTCGTTAGCTTTGGAAAGCTGTTGGACTGAAACTGATTGAAATGTTTCTATGTTTTCATCGTTGACAACAACTGAGCCGCTGTCTTGCATGTCTTCAAGGATGTCGCCGTCATCGTCCTCCTTGAATGAATATCGCTGCTCGAAGTATTGTGTGTCCGCTGGGTTAGCAAGTTCTGGTTTGAATGGTGGTTCATCGTTAGATGTGTCGTGGCCTTTCAACCATGGATGGTTTGTGATTTCTTCAATGATTTAGATCCTAATCTGTTCTTCGGATCGATGGTCAATAGTCTTCGGATGAAATCTTCTATCTCTGGTTGCAAATCCATGTCCGTGAAGTCGATCTTCCCTCTCAGGATGTTAGTGTGTGTCTCTGTCTCTGTTTCACCGTGGAATGGTGGTTCACCACATAACAACTCGTAAATGATAACACCCAGTGACCAATAGTCTGCGGTGAATGTATGTGGCTGGTTGAGAAGGATTTCTGGTGCGATGTAGTCTGGTGTTCCAACTAAACTAGCGGCTGTGTTCAGTGATGGATCTTCGACTGGTGCCTGTGAGTTCTTGTCTGTGTTGTTTTGACGACCAACAACACCAAGATGAGATAATCCGAAGTCTGTAAGTTTCAAAAGACCATCTGCACCAATCAAGATGTTGTCTGGTTTAAGATCTCTATGGATGATGCCACTCTTGTGCAGAGTGTGAAGAGCGGATAGTATTTGTAATGCGTAGATTCGTGTGTTCTCTTCATCAAGGCATCCGACATTTTGTAACAATGAATACAAGTCACCGCCTGGAAGATATTCCATGACAAGGTATAAGTTATGGTGACCGATTATAGAATAATAGAACTTGACGATGTATGGATTAGAAAATTGTAATAAAATATCTTTTTCGGCTAAAACACGCTTGAACTGGTTCTTCTGCTCGCATTCTTTCCTCTTAAGGACTTTGATCGCGTATAGATCACCTGTTTTCTTCTTCTGTGCAAGGAAAACACGTGCATATGCGCCGGATGAAATTCGCTTAAGGAAATTGAAGTCAGAAATAGATGCGGACGTAATGTATGGTGATGATGAGCTTCCTGATACTCTAGTCTGTTGAAGAACTGCACCTGCTGTTTGAAGTGCAACACAATGACGAATCTTTTCTTTGACTAAGTCACCTGAGACTTTAGTGTAGTCCATGAATTCGATACGTTCTGGAAGTGAGTATATGTTGTACTGGATTTGTTCAAGTTCATCAAATGAATCGATTAAGTCTGCTTGAACGTTCAAAGCGCGTTCCATGAGGAAGTAAAGATGTAGTATAGGTAGTACTAGTGCGATATATTCTTCTGGATCACCTGGCCATGAAAGATCAAGATAGGTGTTGGCAATTCCATCCATATTCGCTTTGATCGCATCATTAGCTTGTGTTAAATGACCTTCTGTTTGATATGCCTTCAAACATGATTGTGTATGTTCTTCGATCATGTCAATTGGAACTAATTCGTCACAAATTCTGCAGACAAAGCATTGTGTCTGTTCAGGTTTCTCGGCAAGAAGCGATTCTTGTTCTGTGTCTTGAATGTCTGTATTGCCTGTGTCTTGTGAAGGGTTGATAATAAGTAAAGATGAAAGTCGGAGAAATGAGAAAGCCGATGTCATTACCATAGTGCATACCTTTTCTGCAAATGGAGGTATGTCTGATTGTTCTAATAATTGTCGAATTTTGCTGATTACCTCTGTAGACACATGAAATACGTCTTTCATATTTCAATCAGTCTTTTTTAAACTACGTGTATTTAATACCAGAATTATCTTTTGTGCCTCTGATTTCAATATTTCAGATGTCATGTGGACTCTTACAATTAGAATGTCGTTCAATATTTGCAGGATTGATGCTTTAAATTGTGGATTTTTTGGTCCAATTTTCCTTTTTGACATCAAAATTTCATTTACATATGCTGTGATTGCGTTCTCTCGATCTCAATCTCTCCTTGGAATTGTTCAAACTGTAACAGCATGTCAATTGTTTTTCCATTGCTTTTGGACAAGGATTACTCGGTCCAGGTACATATGCATACAGTACTAAATCCTATGAACATCTCAAGAGGTTCTTTTTCTATGCTCTTTCGATCAGTTTAGTTCTACAACTTGTATTGATTCCTGTTTTAATTGCGATGCCAGTTCCTGTTGCGAAGATATGGCTGAAAGATCCAGAAACACTTGAATACGCGAGAATCATGATTCCGAAACCATTTTATACTAATTGGATAACAGGAGTGAACGAAATAGTCACAGCATTGTTACAATGCATGGGATATGCATGGACAGCGATGATGCCGAGTATTGTGAGAGGAATTTTCTACATTGTTTACTCATTAATTTTATATTACACAAATAAGACTAATTCTATAAGAATGATATATACATATTGTTTGAATGATACAACTATACTTTTGTTAGATATTATTATTGTTATCAAACCTCTCAAAGAACTATTTATACAACATTCAAAAATTGATGAAAAAGAAAGTAAAAAGAATGATATTACATCTCCTGGATCTGATTTAGTAGGTCTCACGGTTTGATTTGACACTTATATATTTGTTTGTAAATTATAAAAGGTGACCAAACTATTTTTTGAAAGTCCGCCATAACTTTAATGGTACTATTTCAGCGTGTACAATGAATACAAAAATTCTAAGAGTGCCACATAAAATAGTACTTTAGACTTGAGTTAATGCTACCAAGCAAATGTTAAAAAGATGACTTTAGTGTTTTGATAATCAAAGATTAAAATCATTATTGTCTAAATCAATAATCATAACGACAGAAGTTAATGTTTTTTCATCAGTGCTTTAAATCCACTTTTAAAAGTATACCTCAAAAATCAAAATATCAAAAAAAATTGGCCGATAGGTTTGGCTTTAATTTTTGTCTGCTTTTATGATTTGATATGGATGTTATAATTTTAAAAGTTGAGCCAAATTCACCAATAGATTTTTGAGATTTGCAAATACTCAATAATTTTCAGCGTGTTATCTTTTATTAAAAGAACTATTTGGTTTCAGTATCATATAAATTGATATTTACTTTCTATTTGAACCTTCATTTAGCTAATGATTTAATAATACAGATTTCATCTAGTCCTTATAAGAGAATTTTGAATTTGTTATAATAAAAAAACAAACAGATATAGCTTACACTTCTATAATAAAGATACCTTTTATAGAAATCAGTATGAAATGTGTTTTGGCTTATTGGAAGCATATCAGACATAATCGCCATAATCAAAAAATCTATATACCCAATAAGTAATAAATTTGTCGATATAGATTTTCCATAAAATTAGTTTTTAGTCTGATCTGAAAATAAATTTAATTTTTTATAAAAAAAAATCACATTTAAAAGTACCTTTTTAGTAGCTCGAAATCCTGTTGGTGGATTTGGGGCGTACTTCAAAATTAGCTTTCCTTCTACATATGCAAGCTATATTTTAAATATGGGGCAAATCGGATCGGCGAAAGGAGTTTAGTTACCTTTAAATTATATTAAAAACATGACATGTTTATATTTATTTTAAGGAATATGATATGATAATAAATAAATTTTAATAGATAATAATTTCTAATGATGTACTCAAACCTATTTGATTAATTGACATTACGCGAAATTGAAAATTAACCATTAATGATCAGAATTGAACGCAATGCCATATAGGCGTAAGTGCACCCTTATATAAATATTGATATTTAATCAAATTAAAATTGTGCTTGAATTTAAAGATTCATATATTAATATCATTAATGATGCGAAAGTTTGCCCCAAAAGACCACTCTGCAAATAAATACTAAGACATCACTGAAGGCATCTAATGATCAATACCACTGTTGCAGACCAGATATTTCGATAGCATAAGGAGATTTATTTCGAAAGAATTTGCGCGACTAAAAATTTATTCCTCCAAATCGATAAATTTACGAGAGAAAAATGAACATTCAGCATAATATTATATCAAGTTGCAGTGATCGAAGGAGAAAACAAAGAACTCAAGACATATTGAATATGGAAGTCGTCGAGCTGAAGAAAGCCACAACAGTCGCAACAGAAGATATTGTATTTCTATTTTATTTTTCAGTGAAATATCAGAAAAATCCATTTTTGTGTTCAACACAATCAGAGTAAAACTCATCATACACAAATTCAAAAACAATTATGAAGCATAGAAGTCTCATTGATATGGAAATAATAGATTATGAAGAGTTAGAAATGTTTACTAAAGTTTGTAAAAAAAGAGAAAGTTTATTAACTTTAAAAATACTTTTATTGATAATTGCAAATTCTGCTTGGCAAATTCTGGTTGAAAGATGAATCAATTTGTTAGTAAATAGTTCTCTTGGATTAGTAGGTTCTACATTTCTATAAAATGTTGATGAAATCGAATTGTCAATGTAACAACTATCAACTGTTAATTGATCATTATAGTTATCTATCAAATATGAACCTTGAGGAGCAGTGTTGTTAATAAAAGAACAACATTTTACAGTAAGAGAATTTTGATAATGGAAAATAATTCCATATTTTGATTGTGTATTAGTATTATTTATAATATTACATGAATCAATCAAAGAGTTATACCAAAAATTTATCATTTGGCCTGTATTATCTGTTGCTAAATTATTAACAACAGTTGAATAGTTAAATTTTGTTGTGTATTTATCTGGTTTAGCTTCATAATGTCCAACAGGTTTGTCCGTAGCTTTATTTGATGAGAAATTTGTTGATGAAACTACGATGTTATCATACAATGTTTGAAAAACAGATCCTTCATTTTCATTTCCTGCATCAAAAATGGAACTTTCAATAATAAAGTTTAAGTTATCTGTGTCAACTTCTGTATATGAAATTTGGCCATATCCTGTGCCTTTGCACTTTGTACAGCAGAATTTGCGTTGAATAATAGAACTATTCTTGCCAATTTGGTAGTAAACGCAACATCCAACCTTTGTTGCCGTGCAATTACTAAAAGAACACCGATTATGTAGAAATAAAGTGTCGGAGATAGGATTGAAATTGATAACTTGGTCATGATCATCAAAGAAGTTGCACTCGTCTAAGAAATATTGTTTTTTTCCTGTTGGGAGATCACAGTTTTGACGGTTTCGAGTTTCTTCACCTGTAAATTGAACATTGAAGTAAAGATTCCAGACGTAGTCATCCGCTGAGGATGACTTTCTTCCGAATTTATGCACACTGGCAAATAACCGAAAAATTCATTGAATTTATTGTATGGCTACTATTCACTTTTTAATACAAGTCATACAACTAATTCTATGAGTTTCTCACAAAAAGATTTTTGTTATTTCGGAAGGAAGCATCAAATTAGGAGGAGAAATAGACACCATGTAAACTGTTTATGCGGCACAATATACAAACAAATATATTCATTAGCAAAATATATTTTTCGAAATCTTGAGGCAAAAAAAAATGATTCCCTTTAACAGAGAGATGAAATCTAGACTATTAATAGTCAAGTATAATATGTTTTGATTAGTCTTAATCATATCTTATGTAAGAGAGAAAAAAATAAATTGCATATGAATAGATAAGTATTGACATCATGACTATATAAGTATAAACTATACCATATACATATATTATGTGTCACTTTGGATCTTTACAGCATTGACAGTACCAACTCATATATTATTGATAACATATAACTTAAGCCCAAATGTTAGGAATGTTGATAGTATTCATAATAACAAACTCAGCTTGAAGTGAGAGAAAAGTATTATTTTGATCATATATGTTAGAAATATTGATATGTTCAAATTAAAAAATGAATAGATGAAATGTAATAATAGAATAAAAATCGATTTAGATTATAATAACAAATATAAAATAAACAAGAATAATTAATCATCGTCATTATCTGTTCCGATGATTCTTGAATTGAAGTGTGACTTCCTTCGTGACAACATGTTTCGAAATGGAGATCCTGGGGAGTCGTAATCAAATGAAGATCGTCCTCTTTTCTGTTGTGGTGTAGAAGGTCGTTGTTTCTTATCGGCTGGAGACTTAAGATGTTCGTACTTCTTCGCAAGTTCTTCGTTAGCTTTGGAAAGCTGTTGGACTGAAACTGATTGAAATGTTTCCATGTTTTCATCGTTGACAACAACTGAGCCGCTGTCTTGCATGTCTTCAAGGATGTCGCCGTCATCGTCCTCCTTGAATGAATATCGCTGCTCGAAGTATTGTGTGTCCGCTGGGTTAGCAAGTTCTGGTTTGAATGGTGGTTCATCGTTAGATGTGTCGTGGCCTTTCAACCATGGATGGTTTGTGATTTCTTCGAATGATTTAGATCCTAATCTGTTCTTCGGATCGATGGTCAATAGTCTTCGGATGAAATCTTCTATCTCTGGTTGCAAATCCATGTCCGTGAAGTCGATCTTCCCTCTCAGGATGTTAGTGTGTGTCTCTGTCTCTGTTTCACCGTGGAATGGTGGTTCACCACATAACAACTCGTAAATGATAACACCCAGTGACCAATAGTCTGCGGTGAATGTATGTGGCTGGTTGAGAAGGATTTCTGGTGCGATGTAGTCTGGTGTTCCAACTAAACTAGCGGCTGTGTTCAGTGATGGATCTTCGACTGGTGCCTGTGAGTTCTTGTCTGTGTTGTTTTGACGACCAACAACACCAAGATGAGATAATCCGAAGTCTGTAAGTTTCAAAAGACCGTCTGCACCAATCAAGATGTTGTCTGGTTTAAGATCTCTGTGGATGATGCCACTCTTGTGCAGAGTGTGAAGAGCGGATAGTATTTGTAATGCGTAGATTCGTGTGTTCTCTTCATCAAGGCATCCGACATTTTGTAACAATGAATACAAGTCACCGCCTGGAAGATATTCCATGACAAGGTATAAGTTATGGTGACCGATTATAGAATAATAGAACTTGACGATGTATGGATTAGAAAATTGTAATAAAATATCTTTTTCGGCTAAAACACGCTTGAACTGGTTCTTCTGCTCGCATTCTTTCCTCTTAAGGACTTTGATCGCGTATAGATCACCTGTTTTCTTCTTCTGTGCAAGGAAAACACGTGCATATGCGCCGGATGAAATTCGCTTAAGGAAATTGAAGTCAGAAATAGATGCGGACGTAATGTATGGTGATGATGAGCTTCCTGATACTCTAGTCTGTTGAAGAACTGCACCTGCTGTTTGAAGTGCAACACAATGACGAATCTTTTCTTTGACTAAGTCACCTGAGACTTTAGTGTAGTCCATGAATTCGATACGTTCTGGAAGTGAGTATATGTTGTACTGGATTTGTTCAAGTTCATCAAATGAATCGATTAAGTCTGCTTGAACGTTCAAAGCGCGTTCCATGAGGAAGTAAAGATGTAGTATAGGTAGTACTAGTGCGATATATTCTTCTGGATCACCTGGCCATGAAAGATCAAGATAGGTGTTAGCAATTCCATCCATATTCGCTTTGATCGCATCATTAGCCTGTGTTAAATGACCTTCTGTTTGATATGCCTTCAAGCATGATTGTGTATGTTCTTCGATCATGTCAATTGGAACTAATTCGTCACAAATTCTGCAGACAAAGCATTGTGTCTGTTCAGGTTTCTCGGCAAGAAGCGATTCTTGTTCTGTGTCTTGAATGTCTGTATTGCCTGTGTCTTGTGAAGGGTTGATAATAAGTAAAGATGAAAGTCGGAGAAATGAGAAAGCCGATGTCATTACCATAGTGCATACCTTTTCTGCAAATGGAGGTATGTCTGATTGTTCTAATAATTGTCGAATTTTGCTGATTACCTCTGTAGACACATGAAATACGTCTTTCATATTTCAATCAGTCTTTTTTAAACTACGTGTATTTAATACCAGAATTATCTTTTGTGCCTCTGATTTCAATATTTCAGATGTCATGTGGACTCTTACAATTAGAATGTCGTTCAATATTTGCAGGATTGATGCTTTAAATTGTGGATTTTTTTGGTCCAATTTTCCTTTTTGACATCAAAATTTCATTTACATATGCTGTGATTGCGTTCTCTCGATCTCAATCTCTCCTTGGAATTGTTCAAACTGTAACAGCATGTCAATTGTTTTTCCATTGCTTTTGGACAAGGATTACTCGGTCCAGGTACATATGCATACAGTACTAAATCCTATGAACGTCTCAAGAGGTTCTTTTTCTATGCTCTTTCGATCAGTTTAGTTCTACAACTTGTATTGATTCCTGTTTTAATTGCGATGCCAGTTCCTGTTGCGAAGATATGGCTGAAAGATCCAGAAACACTTGAATACGCGAGAATCATGATTCCGAAACCATTTTATACTAATTGGATAACAGGAGTGAACGAAATAGTCACAGCATTGTTACAATGCATGGGATATGCATGGACAGCGATGATGCCGAGTATTGTGAGAGGAATTTTCTACATTGTTTACTCATTAATTTTATATTACACAAATAAGACTAATTCTATAAGAATGATATATACATATTGCTTGAATGATACAACTATACTTTTATTAGATATTATTATTGTTATCAAACCTCTCAAAGAACTATTTATACAACATTCAAAAATTGATGAAAAAGAAAGTAAAAAGAATGATATTACATCTCCTGGATCTGATTTAGTAGGTCTCACGGTTTGATTTGACACTTATATATTTGTTATATTTGTTTGTAAATAAATTATATTAAAAACATGACATGTTTATGTTTATTTTAAGGAATATGATATGATAATAAATAAATTTTAATAGATAATAATTTCTAATGATGTACTCAAACCTATTTGATTAATTGACATTACGCGAAATTGAAAATTAACCATTAATGATCAGAATTGAACGCAATGCCATATAGGCGTAAGTGTACCCTTATATAAATATTGATATTTAATCAAATTAAAATTGTGCTTGAATTTAAAGATTCATATATTAATATCATTAATGATGCGAAAGTTTGCCCCAAAAGACCACTCTGCAAATAAATACTAAGACATCACTGAAGGCATCTAATGATCAATACCACTGTTGCAGACCAGATATTTCGATAGCATAAGGAGATTTATTTCGAAAGAATTTGCGCGACTAAAAATTTATTCCTCCAAATCGATAAATTTACGAGAGAAAAATGAACATTCAGCATAATATTATATCAAGTTGCAGTGATCGAAGGAGAAAACAAAGAACTCAAGACATATTGAATATGGAAGTCGTCGAGCTGAAGAAAGCCACAACAGTCGCAACAGAAGATATTGTATTTCTATTTTATTTTTCAGTGAAATATCAGAAAAATCCATTTTTGTGTTCAACACAATCAGAGTAAAACTCATCATACACAAATTCAAAAACAATTATGAAGCATAGAAGTCTCATTGATATGGAAATAATAGATTATGAAGAGTTAGAAATGTTTACTAAAGTTTGTAAAAAAAGAGAAAGTTTATTAACTTTAAAAATACTTTTATTGATAATTGCAAATTCTGCTTGGCAAATTCTGGTTGAAAGATGAATCAATTTGTTAGTAAATAGTTCTCTTGTATTAGTAGGTTCTACATTTCTATAAAATGTTGATGAAATTGAATTGTCAATGTAACAACTATCAACTGTTAATTGATCTAGAGCGTTATATATCAAACATGAATCTTCAGGAGCAGTGTTGTTAATAAAAGAACAACATTTTACAGTAAGAGAATTATAAAAATGGAAAATAATTCCATATTTTGATTGTGTATTAGTATTATTTATAATATTACATGAATCAATCAAAGCGTTATACCCAATATTTATCATTTGGCCTGTATTATCTGTTGCTAAATTATTAACAACAGTTGAATAGTTAAATTTTGTTGTGTATTTATCTGGTTTAGCTTCATAATGTCCAACAGGTTGCCATTGAGCTTTATTTGATGAGAAATTTGTTGATGAAACTACGATATTATCATTCAATGTTTGGAAAATAGATCCACTATTTTCATTTCCTGCATCAAAAATGGAACTTTCAATAATAAAGTTTAAGTTATCTGTGTCAACTTCTGTATATGAAATTTGGCCATGTCCTGTGCCTTTGCACTTTGTACAGCAGAATTTGCGTTGAATAATAGAACTATTCTTGCCAATTTGGTAGTAAACGCAACATCCAACCTTTGTTGCCGTGCAATTACTAAAAGAACACCGATTATGTAGAAATAAAGTGTCGGAGATAGGATCGAAATTGATAACTTGGTCATGATCATCAAAAAAGTTGCATTCATCTAAGAAATATTGTTTTTTTCCTGTTGGGAGATCACAGTTTTGACGGTTTCGAGTTTCTTCACCTGTAAATTGAACATTGAAGTAAAGATTCCAGACGTAGTCATCCGCTGAGGATGACTTTCTTCCGAATTTATGCACACTGGCAAATAACCGAAAAATTCATTGAATTTATTGTATGGCTACTATTCACTTTTTAATACAAGTCATACAACTAATTCTATGAGTTTCTCACAAAAAGATTTTTGTTATTTCGGAAGGAAGCATCAAATTAGGAGGAGAAATAGACACCATGTAAACTGTTTATGCGGCACAATATACAAACAAATATATTCATTAGCAAAATATATTTTTCGAAATCTTGAGGCAAAAAAAAATGATTCCCTTTAACAGAGAGATGAAATCTAGACTATTAATAGTCAAGTATAATATGTTTTGATTAGTCTTAATCATATCTTATGTAAGAGAGAAAAAAATAAATTGCATATGAATAGATGAGTATTGACTTCATGACTATATAAGTATAAATTATACTCTTTACAGCATTGACAGTACCAACTCATATATTATTGATAACATATAACTTAAGCCCAAATGTTAGGAATGTTGATAGTATTCATAATAACAAACTCAGCTTGAAGTGAGAGAAAAGTATTATTTTGATCATATATTCTAGAAATATTGATGTGTTCAAATAAAAAAATGAATAGATGAAATGTAAGAATAGAATAAAAATCGATTTAGATTATAATAACAAATATAAAATAAACAAGAATAATTAATCATCGTCATTATCTGTTCCGATGATTCTTGAATTGAAGTGTGACTTCCTTCGTGACAACATGTTTCGAAATGGAGATCCTGGGGAGTCGTAATCAAATGAAGATCGTCCTCTTTTCTGTTGTGGTGTAGAAGGTCGTTGTTTCTTATCGGCTGGAGACTTAAGATGTTCGTACTTCTTCGCAAGTTCTTCGTTAGCTTTGGAAAGCTGTTGGACTGAAACTGATTGAAATGTTTCTATGTTTTCATCGTTGACAACAACTGAGCCGCTGTCTTGCATGTCTTCAAGGATGTCGCCGTCATCGTCCTCCTTGAATGAATATCGCTGCTCGAAGTATTGTGTGTCCGCTGGGTTAGCAAGTTCTGGTTTGAATGGTGGTTCATCGTTAGATGTGTCGTGGCCTTTCAACCATGGATGGTTTGTGATTTCTTCAAATGATTTAGATCCTAATCTGTTCTTCGGATCGATGGTCAATAGTCTTCGGATGAAATCTTCTATCTCTGGTTGCAAATCCATGTCCGTGAAGTCGATCTTCCCTCTCAGGATGTTAGTGTGTGTCTCTGTCTCTGTTTCACCGTGGAATGGTGGTTCACCACATAACAACTCGTAAATGATAACACCCAGTGACCAATAGTCTGCGGTGAATGTATGTGGCTGGTTGAGAAGGATTTCTGGTGCGATGTAGTCTGGTGTTCCAACTAAACTAGCGGCTGTGTTCAGTGATGGATCTTCGACTGGTGCCTGTGAGTTCTTGTCTGTGTTGTTTTGACGACCAACAACACCAAGATGAGATAATCCGAAGTCTGTAAGTTTCAAAAGACCATCTGCACCAATCAAGATGTTGTCTGGTTTAAGATCTCTATGGATGATGCCACTCTTGTGCAGAGTGTGAAGAGCGGATAGTATTTGTAATGCGTAGATTCGTGTGTTCTCTTCATCAAGGCATCCGACATTTTGTAACAATGAATACAAGTCACCGCCTGGAAGATATTCCATGACAAGGTATAAGTTATGGTGACCGATTATAGAATAATAGAACTTGACGATGTATGGATTAGAAAATTGTAATAAAATATCTTTTTCGGCTAAAACACGCTTGAACTGGTTCTTCTGCTCGCATTCTTTCCTCTTAAGGACTTTGATCGCGTATAGATCACCTGTTTTCTTCTTCTGTGCAAGGAAAACACGTGCATATGCGCCGGATGAAATTCGCTTAAGGAAATTGAAGTCTGAAATAGATGCAGACGTAATGTATGGTGATGATGAGCTTCCTGATACTCTAGTCTGTTGAAGAACTGCACCTGCTGTTTGAAGTGCAACACAATGACGAATCTTTTCTTTGACTAAGTCACCTGAGACTTTAGTGTAGTCCATGAATTCGATACGTTCTGGAAGTGAGTATATGTTGTACTGGATTTGTTCAAGTTCATCAAATGAATCGATTAAGTCTGCTTGAACGTTCAAAGCGCGTTCCATGAGGAAGTAAAGATGTAGTATAGGTAGTACTAGTGCGATATATTCTTCTGGATCACCTGGCCATGAAAGATCAAGATAGGTGTTAGCAATTCCATCCATATTCGCTTTGATCGCATCATTAGCCTGTGTTAAATGACCTTCTGTTTGATATGCCTTCAAGCATGATTGTGTATGTTCTTCGATCATGTCAATTGGAACTAATTCGTCACAAATTCTGCAGACAAAGCATTGTGTCTGTTCAGGTTTCTCGGCAAGAAGCGATTCTTGTTCTGTGTCTTGAATGTCTGTATTGCCTGTGTCTTGTGAAGGGTTGATAATAAGTAAAGATGAAAGTCGGAGAAATGAGAAAGCCGATGTCATTACCATAGTGCATACCTTTTCTGCAAATGGAGGTATGTCTGATTGTTCTAATAATTGTCGAATTTTGCTGATTACCTCTGTAGACACATGAAATACGTCTTTCATGTGTGTGTTAAGTATATCGGAGATATAAGTGAGGATTGCTGAGTATATCTGCTTGTCTTTTTCTGAAACATTGGTTGTATTTTTAAGAACCATTTCTCGAATCGAAGTTAAAACAGTGTTTTGGGCTTTCAAGAATAGGAAACCTCGCTTGTACGTCCCATTCCTCTTCGACGAGTTGAAGAATGTCGAAGTTCCACGCCTTTTTGGACGTTTGAGCGAATGCATCATCGAATTCTAAAACGTGCGCTAGAAAAAAAAATTATTTATTCTGTTTAGAAGATTTTTAAGATTAAAAAAAAAGGTAGTGGGGCTTCCAGGCGCGTTGCGCCCTCTAGCCCTGAAGATGTTTAGTATAAATGAAGTTTATATTCGGAGGGCTTCCAGGCGCGTTGCGCCCTCTAGCCCCGAAGATGTTTAGTATAAATGAAGTTTTTATTCGGAAAATTGTTAGTCTTCTGGGTCGAAAACATTATATAATGTGTCGCGTTTCACAAATTATATATGTTTTCATGTTTTGTCACTTTTCTATCACTTTTCGGGTAAAAACATTTTTATTATTATATATAAATGAATTTTACAAAACCACCGTTACCGTTCTTTGGAAATAAGAGTAGATGTAAAGATATTATATTGAGAGAACTTAAGAAACTACCGAATGGTCTAACATTTGTAGATTTGTTCGGTGGATGTTTCGTACCGAAATGGCTAACAAAAAGTGACAGAAAACCTTAAATTGCGCGGCAATTTTAATTAAAAAAATAAACATGAATTTTTGTGATTGATATTATGCATTTTATTTATATTATATAAGATTTAAATTTAGGGGAAAAATTGGAAAAAAAAATAAGATTGGAAGTATTTAGGTAAGAAGGAAAGGGCAAGAGATATATAGTGTACCTATATACCTCTTGCCCTTTCATTCTAAGTAGAAATGGGAGAAACTTTGTCCGCATCATAAGTTATGCGGACAAAGTTTCTCCCATTTCTAATGGGAATTGTAGGCTATGAGGCACTGATATATAATCAGTACCTCATAGCCTACAATTCCCTTTATTAGACTTCCAAACTTTGAGTTAATGTCTTGACATTAACTCAAAGTTTGGAAAACTTCACGTAAGAATCAATCGTCAAAATCTCGATTGCAGTTATATTCATTGTGTTAAATTTGATTTATTTTGAAATTTTTATAAATTAAATTTTATATAACATAAAGCGTTATGAATTAGTATTTCCATATGAATTTTATCTCGAAAATAGTAATTCTGTACAGTTATATTTCGGTTAAATAAATATATCTAAATAGAAAGAATCAGAAAAATCAAATTATTGGCGCCAAAAATGTCACTTTTTTGGTGAGCCATTTCGGTATGAGATAAGATGGAACGTATACCATTAGATAAGAAAAATATTGTGAGAGAGGTTTTGAAAAAAGCAGAATATATAGACTGGGATAGTATATCTGCTAGACTATTATATAGTGGTTCTATAAGAGTTCATGACATTGAAACACTTATGTCAAAAGTTTTATATCTTAACTATACAAATGTTTTCAAAGAGAACATAGAAAAATATATTGAGGGTATAGAGTTTGTGAGATGTCATTGGACAGAGTTGTATGAAAAATATAAAGACAAGGAAAATGTTTTCTTTATAGTGGACCCGCCGTTCTATAACACATGGGATTTTCAATACCAAGTAGACTGGACTTTGAGAGACTCTTTAGAAACTTTAGACGTTATACATAACCATCCATGCTTTTACTTTACATCCGATAAAAGTGGTTTGGAAACCGTTATGAGATGGTTAGAGGACATACATGACTATGAGTTTAGATATGACAAGATAGAATATGAGAGAGGTCCTATAAACCGGAGAAAGTGTCACAATAAAGAAATTTTATTAGTAAGTAAATGTGGTTTGAAATAGGACTACTTGTTTTAGGTTTTTTCCATTGTGTCATTTATTTATTTGAGGTGGCAGAAAAGTACAGAGAATATGAAGATGAACCAATGCCTGCAAATGTTCAGCATATGTACTCGTAAGAGATATTTTTATCTAATATTAAATGGACGCACAGAACTTAGCGAATGCACAGCAACCTGGACAACCAAACCCAGAGAATATTCCAAATGAAGTTAGAATACAAACTGCAATGGCAAACTATGGTCAAGTGCCAACAGATGTACAAATGCAAACTGCCATGTCAAATGACGCTGCGTTAGGTTTGCCACCATGGTATGCAAATATGAGATGGAAAGAGTTTTATATAGGGTGTCCAAAGGTGTGTTTAGCACAAACCTGAATACTGCGAATAGAAATAAACAAGTTACATATATATAAAGTTTATTTAAATATAATCACCATTGGATTCAATCACGCGTTCGCAGCGATCGATCCAGGCTTCAAAGACACGCTTTAAATCATCATAAGAAAATTGCTCAAATTGCTCTCTTACAAAATTTTCAAGATCATCTGGACTCGCGAATTCGCGTCCTTCAGCTCTCTTTTTTAGCGTGCCGAATAAATAAAAGTCAGAGGGTGCAATATCAGGTGAATAAATTGGGTTTGGAACAACTTTGACATTGTTTTCCACCAAGTAATTCATTACCTTATGACTTTTGTGAACTCTTGAATTATCAAAATGAATTGCAAACTTTTGTTTTTGTTGTTTGGATTTCTCAAACTCATCAGAATTGATAATTTGAGTAAGAACATTGTCAATTAGATACTGAGCATTCATCGTATTAGGTTTTTGAAGAATATCAATTGCGATGATGTCATTCACGCCCCAAAAAACCGACAACATCATCATTGGTGTGTCAATTTTTTTCTTCGGGAATGTTTGCGGATTTTCATCCTTCGGGATCCACATGATTTTGGCTTCTGTTGCATATTGAAACCAAGACTCGTCCCCTGTTACTAAAAAGCGAAACTTCTTGGATTGATACGCACGCAATATAGAGAGGAGCTCTTTCGAAGATTGGACTCTAGATTTTTTTTGAACTGAATTAAGGTTGTGCGGAACCCAACGTGTATACGCTAGTTTGTAGTTCAAATAATTGTGCAGATAATAACTGACTGTTGTACGTGGTATCTTTGTCATCTCCTCTATCCTTCTGAGTGATGCTCTTGGGTCTTCATCTAGCACTTGAAGAATTGCTTTGATTTTTCTTTGATCCGGCGATTTTTTGTCAATTTTTATGATGGGCGCCTTTTTGTTCATGAAGTGATACATCCTAACATGATACGTTACAGTGGAATAGCTAGGAGCATCCATACCGAAGCATTTTACCAATGTCTCGTAGATTTTTTACAGTCTTTGCATTTTTTTGCAAGAGCGAGGATGTTTTCTTTATGATTCATTAAAAAAATGAAAAAAATCCCGCCAAAATTTCCCGCGAAACCGCCTCTTGTCTCAAAATTCATTTTATATCCCGGCATGGCGCCAAAATACAACATACTCATCATATACATATATTCATATTTTTTATTATATATTTATAATCAGCATATATCTCCTTTAATAGTCTCATATAGAGCGCTGTGCTAAACGCACCTTTGGACACCCTATACAAACCCTGAAGTGGGATATAAACAGCTTTATGCAGATGACGCGAACACAGGAGTTGACCCAGAATATGTTTTCTACCAGAGGAGAAACAGAATGTATGAGCTCCAGTTAAAGAATGCTATGGAACTCAACAGGAAACGTAAGAGACTAGACGGATATTAGATTTTTACATATAGTAAAATGGGTTTCTTCAGTAGTATTGGAAACTTCTTCAGAAGAGTTGGAAGAGGTATATGGAATGGAATAAAATCTGTCGGAAGAGGAGTATGGAACGGTGTCAAAAATATTGGTAAAAGAGTAGGTCAGTTTGTTGGTATTATACCTAAGACCTGAACCAGAAAAACAAGCTCCTGTTATACAACAGCCTGAACCCGCACCACAGTCTAGTTGGCAACCAAATCCAACACCTCAACCGTATTAAAAAATTATATTTTTATCGTTCGATAGTAGTTGTATATGAAACTAAGTTCTAAGTAAAACGCATGGTATAATGGAATTATTCTTTTTCTTCCATCTGTAGTAAACCATACTTGAAAGTCTGAAATACTTCCACTTGGTGGTTCGTATAACTTTGTAGGTTTTTCGTAAAAGTCATTTGCCAAGCATAAAAAAGAGTTTTGGGCGCCAGAAAATGAAGCATGAACAATAATAGCATCTGGGTCGAAAATATTTTCATATGTTCCATTAGGGTTTTCGACTTCATAATAGTCCGGGTGTACTGGATATTCTGCAGGCTGATTTAACATCCTCATAAATCTATACCATGCCAAGTTGTTATATTTTGTAGAAATATAAACGTTTTCTCCAAGGTCTTCTATTTTATTGATTTTAACAGTTGCATTTTTCCTGTCATAAATAATATCGAGATGGTATTCTCCTTCGTCAATGTTATACTGGTTTGCATATTCGATATAGATATCGTTTATTTTTTCTTGAAAAGCTTGAAGAGTTGTTTCTAAATTTATAAGCAAACTAACTTGTAAAAGTTTTCCCTGTTCAAATTTCTCATACATACGTTTTTCTTTGTTATAGTATCGAACTTCAAAACCGACCGTAAATGGGAAACCATGTATGGCTTCTGAAATGAACTTCATTCTACGAAAGCCAATAGCTTTTGTGACGGATGGGTCTCTTAACCATCTTAATGGGTAGTCAAAACGATAGCCTTCATGCTTTACGGTATCTGTCTCAAACTTTTGACCGACATTAGTAAAAAGTTCATCTAATGGTTTAGTTGTAGCAACTCTAGAATTTTCTTTTTCTATTGGAAGCATATTTTATCTATAATAAAAATGTCAAATGAAACAGCATCTATGAGAGAAATACAACACAACCGACAACTCATTATGCAAGCTCTAAATAAGAACACAACAAACTTTTCAAACTATTCTAAGATATCTGAGTCATTGAAAGGGGGTGACTTAAAACTGACATTAAACCCTATAACAGATGAGTTTCTATTTCAAGACAATAAGAACAATACTGTCTGTATAAATCCAACAAAAGGAACTTTAAACGAGAAACCTATAAATGAACTTCTTTTGAAAGCAGATGTTGACAACAAAGCTGACAAAGAATATGTCATTGAAAAAGTTCAAGAAGAACATGACAGAGTAGATGCAACATATGCAACAAAAGAGGATGTTGAAAATAAAGCTGACAAAGAAACTGTAGATATGTTGGCACAAACGGTTTCAAGTCATACCAGAGGTTTAATGGAAGATAGTGTCCATTTGCAAAGACTTGACATGGATGTTTCAAATAAAGCCGACAAAAATCATACACATAACATCTCTGACGTAAATGAACTTCAAGAAAAGTTAGATGACAAAGCTGACAAAGAAACTGTAGATATGTTGGCACAAACGGTTTCAAGTCATGACAGAGCTTTAATGGAAGATGGACAACAGTTGAAAGAGCTTGAGAAAGGTGTTACAGAGTTAAGGAATACAAAAGCAGACTCGACATGGATAGCTGGATATGTAGATGCAACAAAAGAATATATTTTCGCATGGACAGAAGGAACATATCCACAAAAACATCATACACATAACATCTATGACGTAAATGAACTTCAAGAAAAGTTAGATGACATTATGCATCTAAGACAGGAACTCAATGTGCTTAAACAAATTTTGCCGAATCTTATTTACCCGGTTGGCTCATTATATGTTTCAATGAACTCTACCAGACCAGAAGTAGTACTTGGTTTTGGAACTTGGACTCAAATAGTCGACAGGTTTTTGTATTGTGCAAACTCTTCAAAGGAAACAGGTGGAAGTAAAACGATTTCAGGTGAAAATTTACCTGCACACAGTCACTACATAGATTTAAGTACATCTCAAGCAGGTTGGCATAAGCATAGATATTGGGATTGGTCAGGAATGACAAAAGGTAAAGGATATGATGTTAAAGACGACGTTAAGTTTGCTATAAATTGTTACTGGAGTGACACTCAGGGAGAAGGAAACCATACACATTTCGTTTCAGGATATACACAAACAACGGGACAAAGTAAAGAATACATGCCACCTTACATGACAGTTTACGCATGGTATAGAATTGCTTAGTCGTCATTTTCAACTTCTTTAGCATATTCGTCAGGAGTTGTCTTATATTTGTTAGGAACTGTCTTTAAAAGTATACCACCTTGAACTTTGACAAGTTTGAAACGAGGTCTGACAATAGTAGTTTTATCTTCTGCTTGCAGTGTGTACATTTTGCCATGTTTGCCTAAAACTTCATAATATTCTCTTGTATACTTTCTTCTATTTTTACGAACACGAATGTGAGTACCTGTCGGGTTCCCATTGTTGTCATAGTCAATAGTATTTTCATATGGGTCGCGTTTAGGTATTTCTATTTTTACTTTGTCACCTTTCTGAAGTTTGAAGCCCGGCATTCTTTCTTGTTTGTCTCTTTTGACTAAATTATTAAATATATAGTCTTTCTCTAAGTCAGGGTTGTTTTTCATTTCTTCGGGGGAGTGGTTTCCCAAACCTTTTTGTTTACGGTTATTGTAAATATTTAAAACTTGTCTCATCTTTGCCATGGAGAAGTGTCTATACTTGTCGTCATATGACATTTCATTTGCTTCACCACCTTGTGGTTGGTTTAAGTCTCTTAACATTTTTATACAACCGTCAATGACACCAAGAGCAGAATGGTTTTGGTCGACAATGAAATATTGGTTTACATTTTTTGAACGCAGATAGTTTTTTACATCATCTGATTTGAAAGAACTTTCACAGTCAGATGTCAGTTTTGTTGGATGGTATTTGTCAACGAATATTGTCAAAGCAGTTTTCACATCTAAAATATTTCTGGACCATAATGGTATGGCTTCACAGTATCTTGTGTTTTGACCAACAAATATTAACCAGTATGGAGGTCCATCTGTTCTAACTCTCGGAATGTTTTCCAAGATATCCATAAACCAAGCATTTGGTGTTGAACTAAAGATTTTTATCATGAGTGCTTTCTTTGTCGCTTTAGAAACATAGGGGTCCTTGTTTGGATTCGTCATTTTTTACCCTATAAGAAATGGGTTTATTTGGCGCATTAGCAGGAGTTGCATCCAGATTTTTACCCGCAGTGGGAACAATAGCTAGAGGTGCATTTGGAATTGGAAGGAAGATTTTGAGTACATTAGGTATACTTAAAGAGAAAGCACAACCTATTATACAAACTGTACAGAAAGGTTGGGATGTAGCACGAGATGCAACAAATCTTATTCCAAATCCTGAAACAAGAGGAAAAGTTCAAGGATGGATGGACAATGTAGGAAGACAAGCAGGAAACTATTATAACAAAGCAAATGACTACTATAACCAAGCAGGACACTATATGGACCAAGGTGAAAGATTCTTTAACAGAGGATATAACCATGCACAACAGTGGGTAAACAATAACCAACCTCAACCGCCTCAAACGTGGGGAATGTAAAGTTTTTTACTGAGATGAAATGAACAATGCAGCATTGAGACAAATGAGTTCAAGATGGATTTGTCGGCTTCCAGCAGTTACACCACGTGTTTGTAAAGTTCTTCCTATACCTCAGGAAGTTTTAGACCGACTTAAAAAACCTAAACAACCAGTTGAAAACAAACCAAACTAAAATTTTTTACTGAGATGAAATGACCGAAGAAGTTGAAACGGTAGATTTGACACCACAAACAAAAAGTTCAGAACCATTGTCAAAACCTGTCAAAGAACTTACAGATGAAGAGAAAAATTCAATAATAGAAAGTGCCAGGTCTGGAAATACAAACCCTAACTATAAAGTCACTTTTCATAGAAATGGAACGGCTAGTATCTCAAAAAAGAAACAGACTCTCACAAATAAAATATTGAAGTCTGAAGGAGCTTTCGAGACAACAGATGGAAAAGTTTACTTCACTGACCAACAGTTCATTATAGAACATCTCATTGACTTAGAGTCGAAATATTCTAAACTTTACAACAAACACAAAAAGTTGAAAGGAAAACAAAAACAAATGGCATATGATATTTATGAAGATGTTGACGACACAACTGTTCCTGCAAGTGAAGTAAAGTCAGAGGAACCAAAAGTGACGAAAAACCGATAGAAGAAGAAAAACCAAAAACTGAAGATAAACCAAAACCAAAGTTTAGTTTCCAAACTAAACCAAGTCAACCTTCATTAGCTGGTATGGGTTGGCGTCAAAGACTTATGGCAGCAGGCGGTTATGTAAAGTAAAGAAAAAAAACATTTTTTTATTTTTATAAAAATGCCCCCATATAGAATGGATAGAAAGTCTGCTAGAATAAAAGCAGAGTTACAAAGATATGGTTGGAGAGTTTCGAAGAATTTTAAATATAGGAAGGGAAGACCCATAAAAGTCTATGACAAATTGTCTGGTCTTCGCTACGAAATGGATTTGGAAACAGCACGTGCCAATTATCCAAACAGACTAGAGAGGTTAGAAGAAGAACGTCTTATGGACATGCCTTTCGATGTTAGTGAACCTCAAGTTGAAGGACACGACGGCTTTGCCAGATTCTACTGGAAACATGACGAACAATTGCATCCTTTGAGAAGGAAAAAAGGAAAAGGTGAAGACGCACATGCTCCCATGGAAAGAACAAGATATGCATATGAAAAGTATCGTGAAGTTAGAAGTCAAATTACATCTGGTCGAACCTTTACAGTAAACTTTGACGAAGGAAAGAACAAAGAAGGCTTCATGGGAGTACTTGCTGCAATTCAAGACGGAAATAAGAAAGGACACAATCTCAGATTGACCATAACAGATTTGGATGGTCACATTTACTATGCACATGGCAATGAACAAACAGCCGCAAAACTTCTTGACGCTTTCAAGACTACAAAGAGAGAACAAATGGTTGACTCCGACTCAGACATTTTGAATGCAATTGAAGGAATTGCAAGTGTCAAGTTCGAATGGTACCAACCTAACCCTCAAGCAGTCAGACAACATGCTGGATACTTCCCGTTCATAAATAAGTCTGACATTGACTTGACAAGGTATGGAATTTACAATTCAATTGAAACAATTGTCAATGAACCTTGTATTCTTACATGTCTCAGGAACTCTGGTCTTGTTACAGCTGAGAAGATGAAGTATCTTGAGTCATGTGTGAAGACAAGGTACATTCTCAGAGGTCAATTGGCAAAAATTGCACCGTTGGCAAATGTCAATATCCGAGTCAACATACCTACAGCTAAAGGTTCTTCACATGACGACTATGTTGTTGACAAAGACTTACCATGGTTGAAGATTGTAATTGTCCACAACCACTTCATGTTGAACGAAAGTCTTACAAACCCATTCTTTGGTAAAAGTAAGTGCAACATTGTCAGAGCTGTAAACATTCTTTTCGAGAAAGGTTTGTTGGAACCAATTCCAGATGACAAGCTGACAGAAACTTTTGTACCAAAAGACGAAACAAACTTTTCATTGTTAGCAAGACCAAAAGTTGTTCCAGACAAAGTTCTAGTACAAAAGAAGTACACAGTTCCACAAGGGGTTGGTATGTTCGGATACCAACCTGAACCAGAAGAACTTCCAATGAGGTTGCAAGAACTTCAAGATGCTATAAACAAACTTCCATTGAGACATCCAATTGACGTCAAATTGTATTGGAGAGCATCTGAGTTAGGTCAGAAGGTTTTATATGAAACAGGTTGCTTCGACGATGTTTATGAGATAACAGGAGAAGTTTCTCAGAAGATAAGAGACTCACTTGAATTTCCACAAACTGGACCAATTGGTTGCGACAAGTTCGACTCAGATGAAAAGATATACTATGTCGACCTTAACGCTGCATACATGAGGTTTGTCCAATATATTCCGACTGGAATTCCAAACGAAGATGGTGAGTTCCCGGAAGGAACTATACAGTTGGAAAAGTCATACAACAACTGTATGATATTAGGAAAGCTTCAAACCCCAAACTTGCAATGACACTCAAATTGCTTATGAATTCGACATGGGGATATTCCATTAAGAAACCTCAAGAGATGAAGAGTAAACATTATGAGAAGGTCGACAACTTTGTTGAAAGGTTTTCTCCTTTTGTTTTGAAGTACGAATTCACTCAAGGTCAAAGTGGCTTAGTAACCACATTAAAACCTATTGTCGAACATTGGTCTTACCCTCAGTTCGCAAAGGCAGTCCTTGACGAGTACAACAAATTCTTCTCCGAAGTCAAATCGAAAGTCAAGGTTTACTATGAGAACATTGACGCACTCATGACGAACGAAGAAGGATACAACAAACTCATTGAAATGGGAATGGTCGGTGAAAAGATGGGCTGTTTTAAGCTAGATAAGGTATTTTCCGAAGTTCATGTAATATCGAAAAGGAAATATTGGGCATACTTGAAGACGGCACAGAAATAAAACATTGCATGAAATAAAAAATTTATTTTTTAAAAAGTGACATTTTTTAAATTTTATTTGAAATGTACGCTGAGTTTGTTGGAGAAGACCGTTGGGAAACTTGTTTGTTAGATGAGAAATATGAAATGGCATACCATTTTAAAACAATATATTTTTACATATATTAAATGCTTCAGGTTGAAAAACAAAGAACAAAAGTAGCAGATACAAAACCGTTAGACTATATCTTTACAAATGCTGGTAGGACTATTTCAGATGAAGAAATTTCATCCCGAGCATACAGGTTTGACTATCCAATTCGTTGGCTTCAAAGTCCTTCAGATGCAAAGGCAATAGGATTTAGAAGAGTTTTGTTTTCAAATAGAACTAACGCATTTATGTTCGCAGTATATTTTCATGGGCAGTATAAAGGTTCTGATGGTCTAATAGACAAATTTGACGAAATGAGAATCTTTACAGTTCGTTCAGACGAAAGTCTTGAGAAAACTCTAGATGACTTTCAAACTCAAATGAACAAATATTATTGGGAATTTCAAAAAAAATACGACTCTTTACTAAATGGAACATACTATCTGAAACTAGAATATGACAAGATGAACTCCACCGTTTCATTTCAAAAGATTGAAATTAACCCTCCAAGAGATACAGAGTTTTTATTTTGGGAAGTAGACAAACGTTCTTGGGCACAATTTCTTCGGTTACTAAACCAGAACGAACCATTACCACCAGATGGTCCATTTAAATTTATACTTCCACCAGCAGATTTGATGGTTTATAGAAACGTGTTTGACCCTCAAAATGTTATGTGTCATGCAAGTTTCAGTTCAAGCAACAATAGTTTTCTATGTATTGGTAAGGACCTTTATGACTTTGCTTCTAAATTCTACGAACCACCTAGTAACAGTTTCTCTGACTTTCAAGTTTGGTTCACAACAAATGGTGTGCAACATATTATTCCATTGTACTATGACTTTTATCTCGAATTGTCTTTCATATATAACTACGGAAAAGTGCTGAAAAAGTATTGAATGTGAAGATATTAGAAAATAACATTTTTTCTAACATCGTAGAAAACTCATGAAAACAATTTATTTTTGACACTTTCACAAAAAACATTAAAAAAGTGAAGTTAAAATGAGATGTTTACTGAACTGGTTGGATGTCGCCTTCACAGGTTATGTAGAATGGTTGACCAGAGAAGTGAAGGAGACCCTTGAGAATTTGGTTCATTCTTGGGAAAGGGT